TCTTTTGTCTATCAGAAAGGTTGTTACTGCATGTGTGTAAAAATATTTACTTAATAAAATCCCAAAGCAGTTCAAGTACGGCTCATGACCAATATGTCACGTGAATGGCTAATAAAAAATGTTATTTTAGTGTTAAAGAATTTCAAAATGATAATTAATACCTATGCATGTTGACATATTATGATGGACGTAATTGCTGTGTTGCTGAGTGTATCACTGTGTCTCACTATTTTTATCTGACCTTTAATTAATGATTGAACGCATTTAAATTTAAATTATGACATTGACATTGTAAATTATGACATTGACATTATAAATTACATTGAATAAGTTAATTTTAAACATTTTAGAACCTGCTAACAACTATATTTCTAAATGGCTAAATAAGTCATTAAAACCCAAATACGTTATATATCAAACGTTATACTCAATTTTAAGATGCTGTTAAATCTCGTGCTGTCTCTATCACTGGGTGACTGTGACAACACGAGACTTAACGAGATCTTAAAATTGAGTGGCGTTTGAGTATTTAGCTTTAAGTAACTTATTTTTATTGTAAAAACATAATACTTACCCTATTTATAGCAAATAAAGACATTTGAATTTGAAAACAAAGCTAGTCTGTGAACTTTTTGCATTTTTTAAATTAGATAATTCAATAACAATCCTATTGGAAAACCGTTACCGTTACAGCCTATTAAAGTCTACTGCTGAACATAGGCCTCCCCATAGACTTCCTCCTTTCTACAGCTTTTCAGAAATATTTCTTATAAAATATATAAGTATCTGTTCTTTTCAATATTCCGACAGATGGCGGTGTAACCATATAATTTACATCAAACATATTATAATACACAGACCAGCCATGGGGAGCAGCGTCAAATATGCAAGACGTCTGTTGCAGCCATAGACATCATAAAAACAAAGTTATGGCGATCCGAATCCACTTGCAAAGCGTGGTGATTATGCATAGACGCCAAATTCTCCTTACAACCGGCGAGGCTCATGTCCAACAGTAAACATTTGAGAGCCGATAAAGAAAAAGATATATTATATAAAATGAACATTATATTTTTTAGAAACTAACTGAAAAAACGTAGGTGACAAACGAGCACACAGTCCACCTGATGGTAAGTGGTTGCTGTGGCCCATAGACATCTAAATCTATCCTCGATTACGAATCAAAATGCAGATGTGTTGTCACCCGTGAGGACTAAGCTAGAATGCCTCGTTTCCAGTAAAAAGGGTCTCCGGTTCTCTACACTCATCATATGAAACACAGCAGAGTTAAGCTGGGAGTGTGGAACAACATATTTTCGATTAATGGGTCCGTTTGCGAAATATTCAGCTTTAAGGTAGTTTTCATTAGAGTCATGTGCGAACCCTTCCCCCCCCCCCCCCCCCCGAAACTTAACTTCTTCTGAGGTAAGAACGAAGCTCCAAGAAGTTCGAGGGGTTACAGTAAGCACATAAACTGTGAGAAAAAGACTGGAATTGGCCGAAATAAATTCACGCTTGCCTGCCGTAGACCTCCTTCTTACCACATGCCATCGAGTAGCTCGAGTTAATTTTGCTCGCAATCACGAAACTGGACGACGAAGCTAGGAGTCAAGTGACACAGATGAGTCCAGATTTTGGTTGAAGACGGATGATGGAAGGATTAAAGTGTAAAGACGCCCGGGAGAGAGATACGCTCAGTGCAACATCATTGGTACAAAGGCGGTAGAGGATCAGTTATGGTATGGAGCGGTATTTGTATGGGGGTACGTACGGAATTCCATTGAGACTTGGTCACTAACAGCGGCACGATAGTACCTAACTGAGATCTTGAAAGAAATGTGAAAAAGTGTCATTGGCCCCTTTTATACGAGATAGATTTGTTTTTATACATGATAATCCATGCCCCCATACTGCGCCGTAGTTGTCGAATACGTCGACTTTCATTTTTTCTTTTAAGCAATATGGCGTCTGATTGCCACCACATTGAATTTTGATTACTCTCATGTCTTTAGTGACACTTACAAAATTAAGACAAATCGATTTACGTAAGAATCATCAAAATCAGCCCACGCGTTTGGTCTCTAGAACGCCACAAAGGAACAAACATACACACATAAATATATAAACTGATAAAGACATTACCCTCTACCTCCGAAGTCGGGTAAAAAGAAATTCTGCCCACGCTAATTTGAGATATCTTAAAAACACATTACAGGAAGAATGGAATGTTCAATCTCTCAGGTAGCGTGAAACTATTGCAAATTACATAGACGTTAGTAAATATAGACGTAAGCAGACATAGACCCGATAAGAGTTTTTATAATTTAAATTTGTTTTGATAGATCATTTTATGTATGGTCTGTGAATTTATAAAACGTTAACTAAAATGAATTGTTTATATGGCAATTTTTATATTAGTAAATAAAATAATGATATAAACTAACCCACATCTCACTGTAGGGCACCGACCTGCACTCATATTCGAGAGATTTAATAATTTTGTCTACATCAGCTGCTTGGAAAAACGCTGACAATGTTATTCTTGGAGTTCTGCATATCTTTTTATACACAAGACAAATCGTATGGAAAACTTTGAATAGAGTACTTGATTTAGTTTCTAGGGTTATACTAATACATTTATTTCTGTCTGTCTGTCTGTCTAAATTATTAATAGCAACATAACGTCTAGTGTTTAACTGAATTAGATATAATAGTAGTTAAGTAATACGTTCTTCTTCCTCTTCTTCACCAGCCCGTAACGTCCACGGCTGGACATGGGTCTCCGCTGTTGCAAGAATCCTAACGTCAGTATATTATAATAAATCTAAGCAAATTACAATATTGTGTTCAGCATAAATATTTTGATTTTGTATTATAGTACTATTAAAGCAATAAACTGAAAAGAATTATTGATTTTCTTTATGACCTCTAACAGAAACATTGAAAGTGAAATTATTGAGAGTTATCGTGTCTGCTCACTGTCTAACTCTATGACAATGTGAAATTTCATGTTTTATTCTGTTACACCTTCCTCTTAAATGTTCATATATAATAAAGGTTTATTTGCACACAATATAAGGAAACATTTTGTAACGGTTGTCTATACATAGTTCTTATTTCTGTTTAAACTCAGTGAAAAACCAAGTGCTTGAAATTTTTGGCTTGCGGACCTGCTGTGAATTACATAATATTTTTTTTTATTTGGAAACTTTAAAAGTAATTAAAATATGTCACCAATAATTTTTTTCATACTTTGCTGCATCACATTAGGTGCCAGTGGTGAAAATTATGTAGAAAACCATAAAAACCCGACAGATAAGTCTGTGAAAAAACCAAGATTTATTTCTTTGGGTGGAATAACAGATAGTATAGATGTAAGTGAATTTCACAATGGAGATAGTAAAAGTTATCCAAATTTAGTTTTTTAATAAGTAATTAGTTTAAAATTAAAAGACTGTGTTTTCAGGTGGGTTTGGATTTTTCGGTTCCATTCCTTAAAATACCGTTAAATAAAAAAGATCATTCCGGATTTGGACTAAATCATTTGGTAAGTAGGCATTAGTTATATTTTATAGTTAAATAAATGATCACATTTTATCTATAATATAAAAATGAATCGCTGAATGTGTTGCTAAACGCAAATCTCCAGAGCAGCTATACCGATTTCACTATATATTTTTTTATAATATTGCTTGAAGTATGAAGATGAAGTACGAAGATGGTTCTTACGGAGAGCAAAATTTAAAAAAAAACAACACTTCAATATTCCCATACAAAAGATTCGTAATAATACTTAAAAGTCAATTTGAACTTTAATACCATAACATAAAGTTCAAGTGTTAGTGGAGGGGTTCCGGGGAGGCAAAACAATTGAGTGGCCTTATATCTTATTGTATGGTATAAATATTAATGTCAATATTTGTCAAATAACTCCACGCGGGCGAAGCCGCGGGGAACAGCTAGTTTCCTTATAATAGAGCCAACCTTAGAACATGTCAGTTATATTGAAATTATATTTTACGCACCTACCTACCAACTCGTAAACCCGTTACGAATAAAATTAATGACTGCCTCGTTGTCTCGACTGCTGATCATGTGGTTCCTGGGTTCGAATCCCGGATCGGGCTAAAATATCACTTACTGGCTTTTTCTGTCAAGAAATCTTCGGTAGTAGTCTGGAGTCAGGAAGTTGGCGGTGTTTAACCCCCGTGCCACGAAAAACACCTTATATAGTTCTGGTCATGTTGGACACGGCAACGGCACATAGAACTATGAGACTAAGGAAATTAAGATTGCACCTGTGCTTGCGCACATACTCATGCGCAAATGTGTGTATAATCCTGTGCTGTATAGATAGCTAGTCTCCGTTTAAACTGGCTGCCGTGACTGAATTTCGATATAACATAACATAATATAATATAAATATTAGGTACTGAAAACCATTTTTATATTTGTCAAGTTTAGGTTACGCCATTTATTATTAAAATTTTTTTGTTCTTTTACCTATTCTAACTAAAATTGTTTTACAGGGTACACCGAAATTTACTTTTGATCCATCGTCTCTAGCATTCGGTAGTATTGTGGTGCTAGCAACAAGCTTTCTTGCCTCAGTCTTCAGTAAAGATCCATTACATCATGACCGCCGTTTCGGCAGAGGTATGTAATTTAAGTTACAGTTACTTTATTAAAACAATTAGCATAACTAACAATCTCAATAATTACTCACGATTTCATGAAAAATATTCTGGACAGAGAGTAAAGAGTGAATTCTATCTTAGGATGCAAAGTTTGTCAAATAGTAACCTAAACATTTTAGATCATCGACGTTTTTTTTATTTTAAAAACAAATGACGTAAAAATTATTTTATAACCATAATATATGTATATATATATAAAATAAAACTATAGCTGTGACAGTTATTATTATATTTACCCAGTATTTACCTAATAAATAATAAAAGAAAATAAGGTTTACTTTTACAGTGTTACACAATAATACATCACGTCGGACACGGTCCACAAACCTTTTTTGATTTCTTCTTCGGCTTTATCGACGTACTAGATTTTTTACTCATAGTAGATGGCTCCACTATACCAGCGTCTGCGGGAATATATTGCGTTTCCACATGAATTAAATTTTGGCGTTTTCGCGGCGAGAGGTCGAAGCAACCAAAAGGTGGGGTATACTCTATATCCCAAGTAGCGTTACTGGAAAGCGAGCTCAATGATTCTTCTTTACAAATACACTCGGGTTCTTTAAACGCAGGACAGCTATCTATTACTTTATCTATTGCAGTCAAATCGTTGCAATAAACGTCCATATACGCGCATTTACAAATATCTTCAACGGCCTCGGCCAATGCTTTTCTTATTTCTGCGTCTCTTTGCTTTTTGAGTTTTACCATTTTGCGGGCCTCGACTTTTGCTTGTTCTTCGGGACTTCGCTTTTTGATTATCTTGAACACCATAGGATCACAGTCGACATAAGGATCTTCGTTCGGATCTATGTCTGTTAAATCCTTCAACGGATTTACCTTAAACGATAGGTAATAACATTCATATCCCATAATAAATATAGATTTTTTAATAGGATAGTGTGACAAACGAGCACACAGTCCACCTGGTGGTAAGTTGTTGCTGTGACCCATAGACATCTACATCTATTCTCAACAAAGAATCAAAATGCAGATGCGTTGTCACCCGTGAGAACAAAGCTGGAATGCCTCTTTTCCAGTAAAAAGGATCTCCGTTTCTCTACACTCACCATACGAAACACAGCAGCATGGTCCTTCCCCGGTCCAGCCGACCCATTCGTGCTTTAACTATACTACTAATATAGCTTCAGCATGGCTCTACCACGTAGAACATCTAATACATTCAAAAGCAAAAACTAAACGTTTGTGTGTGTTAGTGTTTAGCTAAAATTTGAATTCAGGATCTACAGCTAGGTACCTATTAGGCGGTAGGACTCCTTTTTTGTATACAATTAAAATGACAAATGAACATACAGTCCGTCTGATTGTAAGCAGTCAGTAGATACCTAAAGCCAAAAAGGCTACATATGCGTTGTCGCACCACGTTGATTATACTGGCTGTCTAGGCATTGAGTTATATGTACTACGTACTAGAGAAGCCATTCCGTACATTGACTATGTTCAACTGAACTGTAGTGCAATCCCTACAAAGTAAATATTGCGTAAATTGAAGATTTGTGAATTCCATAAAATAATTATTATTACATTTTATTTAGAAATATAACCTGTTTGTTTAGATGAAATTAAGATATTTTATATTAAATTCTTATATTTATTTTATATTAATATCTTATTTTATACCAAATTAAAGTCTTCGCGCATGCGCGACCACTACTCCCGAGCATGCGCGAAAACATAGAGTAGGACACAGTTTTTGTTTGAAATGGCTTCTCTAGTACGTAGTACATATAACTCAATGTCTCTAGGTATATTACTTTAGACCGAAATACAGTAATGCTCGCACTTCTGCTTGGTGACAGAAATACGAGTAGGTAAGAGGTGTAGCTATGAGTACAGTTCAATTTTAATCCTCAAAGACGACAACACATCTGTTTGCTTGAAGTTTAATTACTATGAGGTGGTCTGTAAGTTCGTTTGTCACTTAAGAGTTTATAATAATTAAAAATTAAAAATTTTGTTCAACCGACTTCAATATAAATTATTAAGAATAACTCAAAAACTATTGGTCAGACCTTGATCAAATTTATATGGGACCACATGTGAAGCACCAGCTTTCAAATAAAAAAAAGAATCATCGAAATCGGTCCACCCAGTAAAAAGTTATGAGGTAACACACATAAAAAAACATACAGTCGAATTGAGTACCGGCTCCTTTTTGAAGTCGTTAGAAAAAAAACTATGCAGTCGTTTCTACAGACCATAAATGCACTAATCTGCAAGAAATTCAATATACCTGTATAGTGAACACATCTCCTTTTCTATGCACTTTTAACGTTGGCTTCGGCTCCAGCGGCTCGTCAGGCTCTGAATCACCTCCCCCTGTGTCCGTGCCGAGTCTCTTTCCCTTCTTTTTCTTTTTCTTACTCTTATCTTTGTCCTGTCCACCTTTTGTGCATTTGAACGTCATCATTTTGGCCACGCTCTTGCCAACAACGCCAGGTTGCCACCCACGACGTTGCTAAACAGTATTTAAATCAATTTAATAAATTACACTTTAATTTGCTAGAATTATGTAATTAACAAATAACGTAATGACGTCTTCTTGAATAATTTTTAAACTTTTGGGACATTGAAATATTAAAAAAAATCATTAATATCTATTATGTCGCTAATACTCCCGAGCCCTACAACTGTGAAAGGCTCTTGTTTTCTCCTTTGATGAAACGATTTATTTGACGCAAATCCAATACCCTCGTCGTGGTGTTAGATGCTTCTTCACGTCAGCATTCTGTGGTATTACTATCCGACATTTTTCAGGGGGAGCTTAGCTAAGCCCTCTATTCTCCAGATTTTTTCTTGTTTTTTTATAAAATAAGAGTGACAAACGAGCACACAGGTACTCTAAGTGGATGCTGTGGCCCATAGACATCTACATTTATCCTCAATTAAGAATCAAAATGCGTTGTCACCCGAGAGGACTAAGATGGAATGCCTCGTTTTCAGTAAATAGGTTCTCCTGTTCTCTAATTTCACCATACGAAACACAGCAGCGTTAAGCTGCTATTTTACGCTGGTATTCTGTGAGAGCTGTGGTCCTACGCCGGTCGAGCCAACCCATTCGGGCTGCAACCACGATATATATATATATATATATATATATATATATATATATATATATATATATATATATATATATATATCCTCTGAAACTTATTGTACAATTTTGATTATATCAAACACAAGTATCCAAAGTTGTGTTCACAGTGTATACATTTATTTTCATGTCTACCTAATTTCACTGTAATGTAAATAAATACACAAGCGTCACACAATGTCATACCTTTTGTTATACATATTTTTTTTTACTTTTGTTATAAGTGGTAGAGCCATGCTGCAGCTATATAGTTGTGGCACAAATGATTCGGCTTGACCAGGGAAAGACCACACTCTCATAGAATACCAGTATAATAGCAACTTAATGCTGTTGTGTTTCGTATGGTGAGTGTAGAGAACCGGCGACCCTTTTCACTGGAAACGTGACATCCCTATTAGTCCTCGGAGGTGACAACGCATCTTTTGTTCTTAATCGAGGATAGTAGATGTCTATGGGCCACCACTTACCATCAGGTGGACTATGTGCTCGTTTGTCGCCCCTATACTATTAAAAAAAATTGTTTTGTTGTCACTTGTGACACTATTGTCTACTGGTAAAATGTGAGTTGCCTAATATTTCCAAACTTGATTTTAATATTCTCACTTTTTTTTTAAACAAAAATCTCCACAACCTTTTTCCCGCCAGCAACACGTACCTAGTTAATTGATAACACAGATACGTTGGCCCTTTGTGAAAAAAGTGGGTATTTGCATTCCTAGAAGCCCTTTAGGATTTTTTTTAAACAAGCCGTATATGATTTAAGATACTTATTGTTATTGCTATTTAATAAAATATATTAAAAACAATAAAATATCTAGTACCTTCAACCCGGGCACATCCGGTGCATTCCATAGCCATCCCATCTCGGCGGGCACATGAAAGCCCGGCTTCTGGAACGGGTTGCATGTCTTATGCCCGATCGTGACTCCTGTCAGAAATAAAATGTGACAGTATACAGTTTTTCATATTTATACTAAATTCTTCTTGTTTATCTGCCCGTAATAATCCATAGTTTTTATTCCTGCGTTTCCTCGTAATAGGTAGAATTTAGTATACCCAGAGAATAAATAATATATATACCCCAAATATACTCTTTTATCTATACATATAATAAAACTGTAAATAGCAGATGTCTGTACATTTTATATTTTTGTAATAAAAGTGATTGAGGGGTACTAAAAATAAGTAACTAAATACATTTCTACCATTTTTAGAATTTTCTGTCTGTCTGTCTGTCTGTCTGTTTGTTTGTTAACGTATCACGTTTAAAGTACTAATTTATATCATAAGAATTGTTAAGGAAATTCTAAAGTGTACCTTCGGGTTACATTTAGTCTTTATTTCATTAAAATCGGTTCATTCCATCAAAAGTTATGATAAATATTCTGAAGTATGGGTAGGGAATTTGCTCAACGGTGGCTTTGTTTGAGTCATCAAGTTGATGTTAGCAGCGCCATCTCTCTTTAATTAAATATATACATATAATAAAAATGATGATAACATGTTGTGCCTCTTTCTGTACATTGTATATATATTTTGGTGACTAAAATCATTACGGGGAACTAAAAATAATTAAATAAGTACATTTTTATAATTTTTAGAATTGTCTGTCTGTCTGTCTGTTTTTATATGAATGCATCACGTCTAAAGTAAACAACATTTTTTTTCAAAGAAATCGTTAAGAAAATCATAAAGCGTATCTTCAAGTTACATTTAATCTTTGTTTTATTAAAATTGGTTAATTCTATCGAAAGTAATGATTATTATTTTAAAATGTAGGTTCGAATTTGTTCAATGGCGCCATAAAAATCTCAGAAATAGTAATAAAAATATTTGTGTGTAAAAAAAACGATCCATAATAATTAATATATTTATACTTAAAACATAAAAAGAGATTTAAAAAAGGATGTTTTCTCACACAAAGGACGTAATAGATGGAGTTGTATAAATTACAAACTTTTCTGATTTGCTGTGTTGAGATTTTTCGCCGATGAATCGTATTGATACTTACTGAAGAAATTTGTATCTATCGAAGCCATACAACGGAACCCGAACAAAAATAACAAAATTGCAACGAAATGTCGTGATATTGTATTTATAATATACGCAAAATCAGTACTCCCATTTTAGCACTTTGGGAACTAGATTTAGCGCTTTTTTGGAATGTATAGCGCGCATTTCGAAATTTTAGCACCTAGCACTTAATCCAGCGCTTTTTGGTGTATTTAGCACCCATTTCAAAATTGTAGCGACTAGCGGGTTATCAACTCTTTTATAGCAGCACTGTTAGTCCACATTACCGATAATAATAATAATGACCTTTATTATTTTTTTCCACAAATAGTACATTGCAGTTTATCTTTTTCAAACATATTTTTTCCACAAAACAAAGAGCATGGGAGACGAGTCCAAACTAGGATACCCTGTGCTATGGATCTCCCGGCTTCCCCTTTAGGATGATCAACTTGATTTTTTTTATCGACGACTATAAGCGGGGAAATCCCCTTCATTAAAGTTTTCGTTCATGGTTTTGGCAACGCATTTATTTTGCTTTATTCAGTTTTAGTCAGTTGTTTAGAGCACAGCTAAGTTAAAAGTTACTTAGAGTAGTACTAACTACTGTTGATAGCAATTGCCATAATTATAAGTCGATGTCCTGCGAAGTATTGATACATCAAAAAATATTGCCAGAAAAAAACTTAATGTTGTTTTCTTTATTATGATTATATTTTCTTGAATTATAAATTATAATAAAAAACACAAACTTTGTTTGTAGTTAATTTAGCGCGAAATCTAGGGCTTTTTTAAAGCGCTGTTTTCATGAAATCTAGCGCTTTTTGTGTTGTCCTAGCGCTGAATGAGTTTTTTGATCTGGCAGCACTGCCAAAAAACCCTCTATTAAGAAGTAACTTTCCTTTCAGTTTTAAGCGCGTTCAGTTCCCAGTTACAGTCAGCGTGTGTTATGCGATGACCGTAAATAAAGCGCAAGGTCAAAATTTACGCGTTGTAAGAGTGGACCTCAGTACTGACTGTTTTGCACATGGCCAACTCTATGTTGCTTTTTCCCGCGTTAGTAGCCCCCGTAACATTTTTGTGTACAACCCGTCTAAGTTTACTTCTAACGTCGTTTACACAGAAGCTCTATCATAAACTACTTAGAACTTTGATGATAATGATTTAATTGTTACCACTTATTGATACAGTAATGATATAAATCGTTTAATATTCTCTTACCTAAACGACAAATTCTTTATGTAAAATCTATAAACGCGAGCTACGCCGCGGGCACAGCTAGTACTTAATAAATCTGGACACAAGATACACTATACTCGGGATTGATATTAAATAAAACACGTATTTCGCCACCGGAGCTGCTAGATTTAGACCTCTCCCAAGGAGGTTTTGCCTTAAACGTCACACACGTGGCAGGTGAATTGACGATCGCAATACCAGAAATCTCACACCTTTAGCACTTCTGCCCGTCGCCAATCTGAGTATTTTACCGCTGGTGTAAACGAGTTATCCATCAGAAGATTTTTCACATAAGTGCGCAAGTCACGCAACTGACATCGCCTCGCGCCGTTGTCTAATTTAGCTATCGAACTATACAAGAAAACACCAAGATTTATACATATTTCGCGACATATACATTTCTGCAGCTATATTAATATTATAGTTGTAGCACGAATGGATCGGCTCGACCAGAGAAGGACCACGCTCTCACAGAATACCAGCGTAAAATAGCAGCTTAATGCTCCTGTGTTTCGTATGGTGAGTGTAGAGAGCCGGAGACCCATTTTACTGGAAAAGAGGCATTCTATCTTAGTCCTCACGGGTGACAACGCATCTGCATTTTAATTCGCAAACGAAGATAGATGTAGATGTCTATGGGCCACAGAAACCACTTACCATCAGGTAGACTGTGTGTTCGTATGTTACCCTAATTCTATAAAAAAAAATTGTGAGGTTATGTGTTTGAAGACAGCCGACATCCAACCAACCAAGGCACGAAGCAGATCAGTAGAAGTCCAGGTGTGTGCACATGCATTCCTTAACAGCCATTCCTGTAGACCGAATTTGGGGACATTTGCAGTATAGCGAAATAATAAATTCGCTCCGCCTCCTACAGGCCGGGTTAATTAATGTTATCCAGTATTTTGGTATTCCCTTATCACCCAATAGACAAAAAGGGCTAAAAGATTATCTTACGCCATCACTAATCGGCTATTTAATAACCTGATAAAAATGACAAAAATGTGTCACAAATGTGTCACAATGTCACATACCTACTCAGTATTTAAGTTTAATTTTTCAACTTTATAACACTTTTCATATTTTCAAGTCCGTCTGAGCTGGTACCATCTTTACCTATTTCTGCCGTCAAGCAACAGTACATAAATGACTGTAATCCGTTCTTTAGTGTATGGACAGCCAGCATAATGTTAGGCAATAAGTCGTTACATCTAAGTCCACAGAAATAACAACCCGTAGCTTTTCTGCGTCTATTACAAATTTCTTGGTCTAGAGACTGTTTGGTTGTTATAAAAAACCTTACCTGGATAACCATCACCAAACGTATAATTATATTTGGATGCATTTTTCTTTTTCTTCTTTGTAGCATTTTCTTCGTCTTCTCCCATCTTTTACAAAGTTCACTAGAATCACCAACAGATATTTACGATCTTCTTTGCCTTCTTGCCAATAAAAGGATCTCCGTGTCTCGTCACTACACGAGGCATATCAGTATTAAACTCCCATTTTACACTGGTATTCTGTACCCTTCCTCGTTCGAGCCAACCTTTTCGTGCTGCAGTTATAATACATCTTCACTCCCGCTTCTGATTTGATGTTTATTTGGTAACGGAGAGGAATGAGAAATCTATGTAATGTAGCATCATAAATCCCCGGTGAGTTACAAAAAACGAGACAAAAAATTATAGAAATTGGATGTATTTAAACCGGCAGCGTTAACGGGCTTTATAAGTAAATTATGATTGATTTTAAAATAGAAATCCAAAAGCAAAAGTATCCTAATTTTAATTTATGTATACAAAGATAATGTATAGTTTAGACGTACCAAAGCCCAATAGAACAGTAAGCTGATATATCAATGGAGCGGTCATATAGGTCGAAGAACTGACAACCGTGTACTACTAAATGAATGCAGGTAGCTCGGAACCGGTATGGCATTCCTTGGGGGAGATCTTTAGCAGTTGACTTGTGGATGATGATGATGATGGTGATGATAATACTGCTGCTGAAGGTACACTTTTTCAGCTTCAATAATATGTTATATCTTTGTGATTGATCAATTTGTGTTTTGTATTTATTTTTTGCTAGTCTCAAAATACGAATATAAGGTTTTAAAACCATACAAAGATCTAAGAAAAACATTCCGTTTAAGTTCATATTTTTAATTAGAATTAGGTTTGGGTTACAAAATAAAATATCAACGAATTACATTCCTTCATATCTTATCTTCTTTGAATTTTTCTTGAATTGCCAATTTATGGGCTCCGCAGCATCCTTTACCCATAAGAGACAACAACTGCTGTTCTTTATCGCAACATCGTCTCTCGGTATCTACGTTGAATTTGTTTACACATCTAAAATCATGGTCCTTTTCGTATTTCATATAGTCTTGTAATGCTTTCTTTATTCTTTCATACTCTTTTGAACAACAAACTTTACCAGCATCGCTGTAGCTAGGTGGTAAAGTCGGTAAAACGGCATTCTTATACATTCTAGCAAAACCATCGGGTACGCTACAAGGTCTACCCATTACTGGACAGGGGCCTAAAGTTATTGGAGGTAGGCCATAGGGTAAGGGCTCAACTTCATCTTCTTCGTCTTCTTTTACTGTCTCTTCTTCGTTTACCATTGTAACTGGACAGTTGCTCTTATGCTTGTATGAAGGGCAATAAGGTTTATGGAGTTTTCTAGATTGTTCATCGGCCATTTCAGTAATACATTCACAATCAAAAGTCTTGCACGGGGGCGTTGGTTTTGGCGGATTGCAACTGCAATCTTTATCATTACGTACCACAACACAATTGTATACTGGTATGTTTCTTTTAGAATCTTTTTCCTCAACATCTGTTTCTAATATATATCTCAAGCCTGTGTTAGTTGCTGAACGTTTATCACTAACCGGTGAATCGTCCACATCCAAGGGTAAGTTTATTCTTTCACTGTTAGAAGGAAATGCATGAGAACACGTACAACTGCTTTTCTTATTAGACTCAGTCTGGAAGTTATATTCTATCGTTGAATTCTGAACAGTAAAATTATTTCTTATATCAGCATTCTTGCTATCCTGAAATTTACCTGTACCAAATACATAATTGACCTGAGTTTTACTACTTTTCGGAGTTGCACCGGTGCCAAAAAACTTTTCTTTTTTGTCCTCACATGTCTCTCCTGCAGTGGTAAGGCCGCTGCACCCGGGGCATTCTGCTTTACCAAGATTGAAATCCATTTCATTACCTTTCTGTTTTACCGGACAATCCTCTCTATGCCATCGATCATCTTTACAATCACACGCACCACATATCTTTTTAGTAATATTTTCTTTCTTATAACTCAACTCCCCAGCTTCACGCTTGTAGCTTTCTAAATTCCTTATATACATCTTTACTTTATTAGCTAGAGGACAATTAGTATTACCACATGGCCCTTTTATATCTCCCATGCGGATCTTATCTATTGGATATGTTTTTTTCTGACGTTCTTCTCCATGAGTTGCCGTATGTCCACAAGTATAATCCACTTCCGGTTCTTTCGTACCACAACTCTGTAGTTGTGTACAAATTTCTATCTTCTGATTTGCATTTTTTAAAATTTCAGGGTCTTCGAGAGTAGTTGTCTCGTAAAGACTACCCACCATGCAGAAATTAGGATTATCGCCCTCAACTCTTTTACATTCGAACATACTCGGAGCTTTATCTGTTCTAAATACAAATGAATCAGGGTTCTGCATCAGTTGTTGAAATTCGGTAGTTATGCTATTACCTAAAGCACTAACTCTGAGAATGAAAGAGATTTCACCGGCTTGCTTGCAACAGCACTCTGCCATCAAAGGCGTATTTTCTTTGATTGACAAAGGTTGATGAACCTTGCAAATATCGGAGGTATCTTTAAGCATGTGGAAAAATTCTGTTTGCCAGTGCATATTACCTACACCAACAAATATGTTGACCTCGGTATCATCATCATTCCAAACTTCAATTTCAAGAGGAAATTTGCTGAGAGTCATTAGTAGTGTGTCAGGGTACGACGGAAAAAGATACGATTTACCCACTCTAATTGTTCTTGTCCATTTTCTTCGTCCCTGTGCATCAGTTTCAACCACGTCGTCTTGCTTGACATCATTTGACGCTAACTGACTTTCTTTAATGATGAATTCAAACTTAGGACCAAATTTCACTTTAATGATTAATTTTTTATTTGTAGCTTTCTTTTCATCTTCTTCGGTTTCGAATATTGTTACTTTGTCAATGAAAATCTCTATCAAGTACATTTGCTCCATCACCTGCCAAGTTCAATATTTTTATATCAGATAATACTCCATTGTGAAGCATCACGGTCTAGATGACAGGAATCTTTGCTAAATTGTAATATAAACAAACATACAAATTCACGTTTAATTCGGAACATTTCATATGCACTTTTATATCACATGTATTCACTTCACAGAAACTTTTAAACTATCGCTTTCCTGCCGAATTCAAATCATTAACGCTACCGCCAGTGACAAAATTTACATTTTTATAATTATATGTTTCTAACAGTTTTGAGTAAAATTATAAATGAGAACGTATATTTATCCTTAACGCATTTGTAATGAAATTCGGCATTCGACTCCGATAATTCTCCAATACTTCGCGAAATAGGACATAAGATACTATTTATAGCATTGTAGACCAAACCGTTGTGAGAAAATTTGCCTTAATCGTCACATTTTACCTGTGACCATCAAAACATGTCACACCTTTGATACTTCATAATAATATTTATTCAATCACTCATTACAAGTCCATCACAAGTAAACTGCTGAACATAGGCTTCATAGATAGCCACAAAATATCGTTCTGAGCCACCTACATCCATCGCTTTCCTGTGTTAGTTCATCAGGTCATCACTCCATTTAGTGGCGGTTGGCTAACATTGCGCTTTCTAGCAAGAGACTGCCACTTGAGAACCTTTCTTATATATCGGTTATCGCTTCGTTGAGCTATATAGCTGATCAGTAAACTAAAGTGGCCATCACTTTAGCTTACCGATCAGCTGGGCTGTCAGTTACTCCAGACGATAATATATCTATACTACAACACCAATAGGCAAAATTTAATATATGTACAAAATACTTACGGATGTGTGTGCTCTAAACTACCTGTATTTGTTGGATATTGATTATTATGGACACTGAAATTTTATTTTGTAACCCCTACAATTTTAGTTACGCCATGACGTTCGGACAACTGACAATTTTGTGATGCCCGTTGAAATTATATTTGGAACGTCATAGCCAACCGTATATTTGTTTTTTTAAATGCCTTACAGCTATGAATCATATCTTTTCTTAATTAACCCGTAACAATTCACTGTTGGGTTTGGGCCTATCTCACACTAAAAAGTTGCCATAAACATCACGCTTGCATATTGTCGATTTCAGTAACAAACTTTTCACATCTTTAACGCGACTCTTTATCCCGCGTAGATTTGGGTATTTAGTTTTGATATTAAACAGAATGGTTACATCCCGTTTAATACCAAAATTTTACTTAAATTTTACCAAAATACCATTTTTTACTGCTATATTATGGTTAACTCGATCGGGGAAGGATCACGCACTTACAGAATATCAGCGTAAAATAGCAGCTCAATGCTGCTGTGTTTCGTATGGTAAATGTAGAGAACCGGAGACCCTTTTCTGGAAACGAGGCATTCCATCTTAGTCCTATAGGGTGACAACGCATCAGCATTTTGATTCTTAATCGAGGATAGATGTAAACCGTCTATGATCCACAGTATCTACTTACTATCAGGTGAGCTGTGTGCTCGTTAGTCACCCTTATCCTATAAAAAAGTGAGACCACAATCCCAACCGCTGGCAAGAGGTAATGAAGCCCTAGCTATCTAGGGCAGTAAATCGCATTGTTATCTGACATCTATCGGAGGCTTCTGGCCTCTAGCATTCTCCTTAGTCGCCTTTTACGGCACCCTTGGGACGTTAGTGGTCTATTACCGCTATCGTCTCAAGATTACGAAAAAGAAAGAAGAAAGAAAACTTAAGAATAACAAATTTTATGAATGAATAATTAATTTGTCACTCATAACAAAAAAAAAACAAAACAATAACAATATAACAAATAAATGAAATTGCAGCAACGAAAACTGAGCATGATGCTGTAACAGTATTGCCACAACCTCATATATATCAAGTTGTTGGATATATTGAAATGTTCTATTTGACCGATATCAAAAAAATAAGATTTTCGATTCGTCAGAATATTTTCTGCCTTTTTCAAAAAGGAGACGGTACTCAATTCGACTGTAAGTTTTTTGTGTGTGTTACCTCATAACTTTTTACTGGGTGAACCGATTTCGATAACTCTTTTTTTATTTGAAAGTTGGTACTTCACATGTCGTCCCATATGAATTTGATCAAGGTCAAACCAATAGTTGTTGAGTCATTTTTAATAATTTATATTGTTAGTCGGATGTACAAAATTTTTAATTTTTAATTATTTTTATATTTGTTCAGCGACAATTTTTTACAAAGTTGTCAGATTTCAATGATTCTTTGTTAGAAGCAGGATTACCTCAGGGGTGGTCCAATATAATCAAGATCTGATAATGGTCATTAATCATCAAACTCTTCAATTTGCAAAGTCGTCTGCAAGATATTGCATGGATTAATATTATTTTACCACGTTAACGATTGCCACAAAGCACAGTCCTGAGCCACTTGCATCCATCTATTACCATTATTACTATTACCTGTGTTTCATTAGGTCATCACTCCATTTAGTGGGGGTTGCCTAACACTGCGCTTTTGAGTTCGAGGCTGCCATTACAGAACTTTTTTCCGCCATCCTAAATTTTATTTACACCTAGTAGGTACAATATAAAATCAAAGTTTTGGAAACAATTTAAAATGAAACTTCACGCAACGAAACCTCTACGACTACACCAATTGGCAAAATATCTTATTTTTTGTTTGACAGCTGGTGCTTCTCATGTGTTCCCATATAAATTTGATCAATATCTAACCGGTAGTTTTTGAGTTATCCTTTAATAATGCGTATTTAATTGACTTCGACTACATTGATGATGTCCTCATTTTATTTATATTGAAGTCGGTTGTACAAAATTTTACCACTTCAATCTTGTAGTGTAAGGATAGGAACAGCGAGTGAAACAAACAAATGACCAGTATGAGACTAATTTGTATTACGAAGAACAGAACATATTACGTGATATTATATGTTATTATAATAGAATAGAATGAGTTTTATTGAATATTGATTGTTACATAATACTTATTGAAAGTCATTTTTTATTTACCACTGGTTCGGAAAATACCTCTGTCCCGGGAAGAACCAGCAAGAAACCCAGCGGGACTTTTTGTTTAAACATATTTCACTTAACAATAATTTTGTTTATACAATTTTTAAATGAATTTTCATAGAACCAGTATGGTGGCGATCACCTTATTTCCAGGGTTTATTTTCATTCATGTATTCCTTGATATTATAATAACACTTTTTGTACAGTTTTTCTTTAATAAAACTTTTAAACTTGTTTATTGACAAACTTTGAACATGTTCTGGGATTTATATGCATAGGTGAGCCTTATGATTGTAGGCAACTCATAACTTACTGCTTCGTTGGTTTCGTGGTTGTAAACGCGACTGCTGATCAAGAGCTCCCAGGTACGAAGCCTGGGTCGGACCAAAAAATTCAGTCAGTGTCTCACCCCCGTGCCTCTGAAAGCACGTAAAGCCGCTTGTGCTGTGCCTGATCTCTCTCCAGTCGTGTCAGTTAACCGTTCCATCGGAATATGCGAGTGAGTGCATCTGTGCTTGCGCATACACTTGTCTATAATCTTGTCCTGTGCCGATGGCTAGTCTCCGTTGAGGCTGGCCGCTGTGACTGAAATTCGGTCTGGAGGACATTATTATTACCACTCGTAAGGTTCATCTGTGCATAAATTCAATATTAGTTTGGATAGATTGTACACTCATCTAGTACAATCTAATCTACCCAAACTAATTACAAACATCGATATATATGTACTATGCACTAGTTTTCGCATTCCGAACAGTGACTATGTTCAACTGAACTGTACTGCAATCCGTACACTAAACTAAATAACATAACATAACATAAACACTCACGCCTGTCACCCAGAGGGGTAGGCAGAGACTATGGACTTCCATTTGGCACGATCCTGACACACCTCTCTCGCTTTCTCCACATCCATATACCTACGCATACACGCTCGTCGGTTAAAGGTACTCTTGATTTGGCCCATTTTCAATATATCGCCATTTTGGTCGATAAACTTTCGCCTAGGGCGTCCCTTCCCGACTCTGCCGTTCACCTCTGCAACATAAATTTGCTTTGTCACTCTTTCCTCATTCATTCTTTCTACATGACCAAACCGAAGCATTCCTTTCTTAATCCTGGTCACAACATCATCTTGCAAACCACACTCTTCTCTTATCAAACAATTTCTCACTCTGTCATTCAGATTCATCCCTAACATACTCCATAATGACCGCATTTCTACAGCATTTATTCTACTCTTGTGCTTCTTCTGCCACACCCAACTTTCACTACCATACGTTAAAGTAGGGACCCCTAAACTAAATATTGCGTAAATTGATGATTTGTGAATTCCATAAGATAATTATTATTACATTTTATACAGAAATATGTTTGTTTAGATTAAAATAAGAGTATTTTTTATCAAATTCTTATATATATTTTATATTAGTATTATAAATTAATATCTTATTTTACATTAAAGTCTTCGCGCATGCGCGACTCTACTATCTCCCGCGCATAGACATAGAGTAGCGCACAATTTGTGTTTGAAATAGCTTCTCTAGTACGTAGCACATATAACTCAATGATTACTAAACATTTATAAGCACGAACACCTATTAGATTTCATTATAAAAAATCCATCATAGCGACTAATTAGAGGGTAGTTTGGTTCATAAGTATAAATTAAAGTATATCTTCTTTTTTTTTTCAGAAAATACCGATAATATGGCCGACGCTTTTCTAGAAATTTCGAAGATATTAATGTCGAACAGCCAAAACTGTCCGTCTCGAATAGCTTGCTGGATCAGTAGGAACTCTGATAGTGAGAGCCTTAAAATTTGGAAAGAAATGGCCAGGTAATGTAATTAGAATAAAACAGCAAAATCGCATGTAATAACCATACGCTAGCTTAAGGCCCGGTTTACATTTTGAGAAGTGATAAGTGCGAGTGGCAAGTGCAACTGACAAATGACAAGTGCAAGTAAAAAGTGATAAGTGTGCAATGAATAGTAACAAGTGAATAGCAGCCGGCTCTATTCTTTAGCAGCTCAACACAACAAGTAGCTCTACCCCGCGCTACCCTTGCTACCCCTCGCTCGCCCACTGTCCTCTCTCTAGCCATCACGTCATGACATACACGTGTTGGTAAATAATTTTGGTTTGCGTTTTAATAGTTAATTTTGGTTTGCGCTATTGTTTTAATAATGGTAAAATGGTCAGAGAACGATAAGATTAAATTTATCCATGAATTACTGAAACCGGATTGTTTATTTTTAGATACATAACAATTTTATGACTTGTGTGGTTACTTTACGAATTACGAACTTGTAGACGCAGTTGCTCATCCATTTTGAACACTAGAAATACCATGTAGTTCAAAATTCCAATAATAATGACCTTATTGCATATCTACTTGCGTAAATACGTTCAGGCCATGCCTGGTGATCTATAACATAGGGATTACCCTAGTATGGACACCAGTCTCTCACAAAGGTCACAAATTGTCTGCAACCGTATTATTTACCTAATTAATAATGTGACAATGTAAATGATAAATCATTTTTATTCCTTTGTGAAAAAAGAATAAAAATGATTTATCATTATAATTACATTTGTGAACAACTACTTGCTTGTTGTCACTTGACAGTATTTACCTGTCAATCTCACTCGCACTACTTACGTAACTAGGTCGGTAGGCATAATATGTAACTCACTTGTTACTTCTCAAAACGTAAGCCGGGCCTTAATCACAGACAGAGTAGGTAACCAACCTCTCAGTATCTTCTACATGATACGACACGGAAAGTGTACGCAGGAATTATATGACCCCTCTCTGCCACTATCAAGTTTTCGATATACCAACATTCGAACCAAACCATTTCTTACGTCTTTCGAAGTGTGTACAGTATAGGAAAAGAAAAATCCGATTTCAATGTGGGTGTGTTTAAGGCAAGTCTTTGGTTCAATTAGCTTTTTGCTCTTTTTGCTATCTCGTTCTTGCACTTCACTATTTTCAGCTACATATCCACTCACCATCAGGTTTGATCACCGCTGACTTATTTTAATGACTGATCAATTTTTTTGAACTTCATGAAATCCCCAATTCAAAAGGTTATACGTGTAACTTACGTAGTAAGATTATTTAACCTGTGGTGTAACCATTTGGTTGGGTTTGTGAGAGTACCTATCTTACTTCCTACTAATATTATAAAAGTGAACCTTTGTGAGGATGTATAGATGTTTGTTACTCTTTCACGCAAAAACTATTAAATGGATTTTAATAAAACTTTACAATTATACATCAGAATAACACATAAGCTACAATTAATAAAGATATTGTATAAATTGGCCAAAATATAACGATAAATGTTAAGTAAGTCGAAAAAAAAAACACGACGTCTGTCTAAACACGCATCACGCAAAAACCTGTGAACCGATTTGGATGGGACTTTCACTGGCAGATAACTGATGTTATAAGGAGTAACTTAGGCTACTTTTATTTTAGGGTTTCGCGCAAAATAATATCACGCGGGCGAAGTAGCGAAAAAACTATTCATTTTTCTACTTAAGAAATTTAAATTGATATGAATATTCTGTGGGTACTTGAAAGAACAAAATAAGAATTCTATTTGGACGACTTTGTTGTCCGTCCGTTCGTTTATCCATCTGTTAAAACCCTTTTTCTCAGGAATGGGTAGAGGCAGAATCTTGGACAAATTATCATACTAATGTATCAAAGGGCAGAAGTATCATGATAATAGCAAATACTAAAGTCTCTCACACACACACGCACACACACACACACACACACACACACACACACGTGCGCACACACACACGCACACGCACACGCACACGCACACACACACACACACACACACACACACACACACACACACACACACACACACATACATATATATATATATATATATATATATATATATATATATATATATATATATATATATATATATATAGTAATCTATGTAGGTACTAAAGTCCATAGTCCATATTTATATAAAAATCAAGTTTCCTAATCCATATAATTAGAATATAAGGCCAATATATGTCACAAATGTTGATATTACGAGAGAAACTTAAATAGGTAACCTATGTAAATAGTTCATTCATCCCGGGAATCGTATATAAGGTAAGTCTAGAATATTTCTCTAACGACGAAAGGTAAGGGGAATTGTAGGACAAGCTTAGCTTTTCATTGGAAATCATGGTCGATGCTTTAACTACTTACAACTTTAAGTTTATAACCGCAAAAAAACTATTTTTATGTGTTACTACTTTTTTAAGATTTTTCGTTACTTGTGCTGTGAGACCTTGCTTCTTGCAGAATTTCATGATTCTAGGTCAATGGGAAGTACCCTACAGGTTTTGATTGCGATCACAAGCGTGATTTTTTTTTACCTCAGTATTTGATATTAATTTCAACTTACAACTTAATATCTCTACCCGTTACTAAGAATACGGGTCTAGACTGACGGACTGACAGACGGATTGACAATAAAGTGGTCCTACAACGTTTCCATATTTTCCATTTGAAATACGAAACCCTCAAAACATGGTTCAAATAGCGAAGAATAGAAAAAACGTTATAAACACTGCACATTACTATTATGTACAAAATTTTATGTTATTTATAGGAACAAACTTCTGGCAACTATGCTCAACACAACTGCAGTTGAAAATGCCTTTATATTTGGAAGAAATGGAGGCGACTGTGAAACGTTCAGGCCTTGTCCTTTGGGTGCAGCACAGCTTTCACATTTTATAAGCAATTCATCAATGTTCTCGAAACCAGTAAACTAAATAAAATAATTTTGTCTCACTTTTTAGTATAATTATATTGTTAAAGTTCATAATAAAGTTTGATAAAAAAATCTTGTTCAAATCTATTATTGCATTACTTTCATCGTTTCTTCAATACAGCCCATTAACTTATGCTTCTCCCATAGTGTCTCTTAATATTTATTTAAAGTTGAAGCCTATTTACGTCCCCCTGCTGGGCACACGCCTTCTCTCATTTCTGAGAGGGTTTTAGGGCAAGGAAATGTCCGCTGCGCTGGCCCAATACGTGTTGGCGAACTTCACATCACGTCTTCGAAATATTTCCTCACCATGTTTTCCTTCACCGCCGAGCACGTGTTAAATCAGCACTTAAAATTGCAATTTACAATTTCATTGATGCCGGCGGGGATCGAACCCGGGTTGCTCGAGTACTATGAAGCTTACAGCGAGCGCTAACCATCTGAGCTACCACGGCTCTAATATTTAATTAATTTGCATTGAAATATTTATTTATTTACATTGAAATATATACAATATTAAAAAAAACTATGATAAAAAAACTAAAACTACAAACTTAAATTGTCATACAGTCCTACTCCGGTACCGTGCCAAGATCGCTGGCTAAGTCTCCTCGCTGAATGGCTACACTTAGCCTTTGAGTGAGAAAGGTACCAGCCCTCTTATTACCAGCAGCGATGACCAGTCTCGGATACAGTTCCTTTAGGAACTTCATCGCACGTAAACTCCACGGACCGATAGTCTCTACAGCAAATGGCACAAATATGTAGTCATCTCTCACACTTAGTTCAGCTGCCTCTGATGCCGCCCCGGCTCTAAACGAGGTACCCCTAAGACGAGAGAATCTCAATTATTATTGCAGAATCATATTACGATACCTAAAATCACCCTTATGGTTCGGACAGGGTTTTCTTACATATTTTATAAACAGTTCTTAGCATATACTGTATTCTCAGGATTATATTATGCTTCTCAAAATTTGGAAGGACTAGAAGTAACTGCAAGCAATAAGATGGCATTTTTGTTGAAAAAAAATGTGTGTTTGTCAGCTCCGACGCACGACTGGAGTTTACTCCTTACCGCAGAACACAATTACTCTCTACCGAGAGAAGAACGCCAACTTCATACTAAAATACGGAAACACGTGCTTATGAGTGTACACTACAAGCGCCACGGTGGGCGCCCATATAAAACTTTGTATTCTGTAACTTTTAAACTTTTTATTTATCTTAAGCAAATTCGAGTACCTAATACATACAAGAGGTTGCACCAAAATTACTCGAATTTACTTTAGAGGCGTATGTAGGATAAAATTAAAAATAGGTATAGTTATGTAATTTTATTTTTTGGAAGACAGATTTTTTTATTACACTATATATTATTATTGTTGTTTTTTATTGCTTTTACAGATTTCCACGCGTAATATTGATTTATAACATATGTTATCGTGAGATTTATTCTTCACAGAACATTAACGAAAATTTAAATCAGCAAAATTCTCTTTTTTATACAGGATAAGGTGACAAACAAGCACACAGTCCACCTAATGGTAAGTGGTTGCTGTGGTCCATAGAAATCTACATCTATCCTCGTTTGCGAATCAAAATGCAGATGCGTTGTCACCTGTGAGGAATAAAATGGAATGCCTCTTTTCCAGTAAAAAGAGTACCCGGTTCTCAACACTCACCATACGAAACACAGCAGTGTTAAGTTACTATTTTACGCTGGTATTCGGTAAAAGCTTGGTAAGAGCGTGGTCCCTCCCCAGTCGAGTCGACTCATTCGAGCTACAACTATACTACTAACATAGCTGCAGCATGGTTCTACCAAGTATAAACGTATAGTGAAAACTTAACTCAGCCCAAATAAAAATATATATGTATGTATATGAAAATCAATTCTTAAGGAGTAAAATCCAAAAAATTGAATAAACAATACTCGAAACCTCTTCACCATTGGCACTGTGCTCATAATTAATTCGTCATCTGATTAAGGGCTTAACGACATCAACAGGTTGACGTCGGGGCGACTGATTTTCGTTTAATATACATTTAAACATACTCACAGACCTTAAATTAATATAAAATGTAAAAACAAGTAACCTATACAACTGATTTATTCGGTTTACAGTTTTCATTACACAAACTAGCGACAATATCACTGTGACCCAATTTCTTGGCGTACTGCAACGCCGTAAAACCGAGGAGATCAGTATCTTCCCTTTTGACGCCTTTCTCAAGTAAATAATGCACCACGTCACCCTGGTTGCACAGCACCGCCTACAATAAAAATATTTAGTTACATAAGACAACGTAAGCGATGGATGAGTAACACCTCCAGGACACATTTAATCTATACAAATAAATAAAATTGAAGTGTCTGTTTTTAATGTCAAAATTACAGCTTTTTACTAAATGCATATGAAAGTATATACGGTACTAATAACAAAATACAATTTTTAAAGTTTTTGTCTGTCTGTCTGTCCGTCTGTCTGTCTGTTTGTTTCGGCTAATCTCCGAAACGGCTGGACCGATTTTGACGGGATTTTCACTGGCATATAGCTGATGTTACAAGGAGTAAATTAGGATTACTTTTATTTTAGAAAAAGAATTAGGATTCCGCACAAAAACATAAAAACCCTAACATGCGAGCAAAGTCTCGGGGAACAGCTAGTTTGTAATAAAAAAAAACACGAACATTATTTTTTTTTGTTGTGGATAACAGCTATCCGAATCTTGCGAAATAATATCACTCACAATGTTTGTAACTTAACATTTTGTAAAGCTTCCAACGTCTTCGATAGATGGCGTTGGCTTCGAATTAGAAGTCGTTAGCGTTTGGCTTCCGCAATTGGAATAGGTCTATGCGATTTATTTTCAATAAACGAGATCGAATCGGGGATCGACTCCGAGATCAGTACGCAGTTGTGGTCTTTTATTTAAAGTTCCCGCTTGCTACAGATTAGGTCAACTCAATCTCCCCTAAATACCACCCGGTAACTAAACATTGGCCCATACGAGCCGGATCGTTTGGACAGGCCTTTTGAGTTCAAAGCGGCCACCGCTGGCCCGCTTCTCCGTGTACTTGTAGTGGATCGCTACAGAGAGGTACACGAGTCCTCCGCACCAGCGGCGACAGCTTCACCCAGCATAGGCGGTGAGCTGAGCCAGCCAGCTGTAGCGGATTAGTTCAAGGAGTGGTCACCAGAGGGCGCCACTCTCAGATCAAACACCCAGACCACGCAGCAAGGTGACGCAGGCGCAGCCATCACACGACGTCACAGAGGACGTCACGCGCAGTACAGCTGGCAGCCACAGGGGGCGCCACTTGCATGTTCAAAGGTGTTTGTGTGAAGTACAGTTTCGTGAGTAAAATTTGTTTATATACATCGTCCACAAATCGAGTGAATTTGAACTCTATTCTAACGTCAATTTAAACTTTGAAAAGGTGAAGAACTATCTTGGACTTGTAAAATTTTAATGACAATTTTAGACTTAGTTTATTTTAGTATTTGTCAATTTGTGTGCATGTTAGTATTAGGACTTAAAATAATTTAAAGAAAACGGGGAACCTACGCCCGATTTCTATCAGATTTTGTGTGCTTCCAAACACTTGTAAAATTTTCAAAGGTGTCTTGATACTTGTATTATTTCTAGGATTTCTATTTTGCCAACATAGATTTGAAATACTTTGTTTTAAATAAGTTTTATACATAGTTTTATCAACTTTACATTGTTATTTACAAGGTTAAATCAAATTGAAATCAATTTAGATACATTTTATTTATTTACAAAATCAAATAAATAATAAAATGGAAGGATTAATTAATGTATTAAAAGATCAACAAAATGTTATAACAAAGGGACTAACTAATTTTAAAAAATGTGGTAAAGATAGGTTAACCATAGAGTATGTAGAAACAAGACAAGAATTATTAGAAAAGGATTGGGCATTGTTTAAAGAAAATAATACCTTAGTATAACTTATATACGAACGTTTCAAAGCAGAAGATATATCACAAAGGGTTGTTGATATTTATGATGCTACAGAGGATACTTATATTGTTTACAAAAGCTTAATGAAAACTACCCTTAACACAATTCGGTCAGCTAAAGATTCTTTAAATCAAGCCAATACTTCTAGCACCTTTAATAAATCAAGTAGTTCTTTCGTAAAGTTGCCCAAAATATCCATTCCAACATTCTCAGGAAAATATGATGAATGGACAACATTCCACGATCTGTTTACCTCATTAGTACATAATAATGAATCTTTAGATAATGTACAAAGGCTTCATTACCTAAAGAGCCACCTTTCCGGTGAAGCAGAACAATTGATTCGCCACACACCTGTAACTGATGCCAATTATATTCAGTGCTGGAATCAATTACAGAAGCGTTATAACAATAAGAAATATTTAACAAATTGTATTCTTAAACGGTTGTTTAATCAAAAACGTATGCAGGTGGAATCATCTACAGCTCTGAAGGAGTTACTTGATACCACTTGTGACTGTCTTAATGCGTTGAACAATTTGGGTATTAACGTGAGCACATGGGATGTTATTATAATTCACATAGTTTCATTTAAATTGGATAACGAGACGCGTAAGCAATGGGAGCTTAGTGTTGGCAACAATGACTCTAGCAATGACTTACCAACTTTCAACCAATTTAAGTCTTTTATAGAAAATCGGTTTCGTGCGTTAGAATGTTTAGATCCTAAAAGGGTACCAGTTCACCAGGGCAACAACGTTAATAAAGCATCAATTGCTCACTCTCCGAAGGCAATGTTGACTACAAGTTCATCAATGCGATGTGAGTTTTGCTTAGAAGGACACAAATTGTGTTTCTGTAAGAAGTTCTCAAAACAGACGGTTGAAGCACGTCGTGATTTTGTGATAAAACATAAAATATGTTTCAACTGTTTAGGCGGCAATCACTTGGTTTCGGAATGTAGAAAGCCCACTACATGTAAGGTTTGTCAAAGGCGCCATCATTCGCTACTGCATATTATTAACCAGGAGTCGGACAAAAGGGATCAACCTTCGACGGCATCGACTGTCGACAGTGTTAGTTCACCTAATGCTGGCCCGATTGTTTCATGTCTGTCAATAGGTAATACTCCCAAGCCCCGACAGGTTTTATTAGCCACAGCGCTAATAAAAGTCGAGTCACGCTCTGGTGACTTTCAGATGGTCCGAGCCTTGCTCGATCAGGGTTCGCAGGCATGTTTTATTACAGAGGCCGTAGTTCAGCTGCTCAACCTGAAGAAAATCCCGATCCAAGGAACTATCTCAGGACTTGGCGGCAATAGTTCAACCAAAGCAACGTACATGGTACGTTTAAATATAAAATCGCGAGTAGATCCTGTATTCAGTCTTACGGTTAACGCTTACGTACTTACCAAAATCACGTCATATTTACCTGAATACAAAGTACACACTACTTTAGATTGGTTAAGCGTTAATACGCTACAGCTTGCAGATCCAGAGTTCAACACGCCCAATAAGATAGAAGTGTTGTTGGGCGCTGATGCATACAGTTGCATTATTAAGGCAGGTATTGTTAAGAGCCCGTCCGGTACGCTGATTGCTCAAAGCACTACCTTAGGGTGGGTCCTGTCTGGCGCTGTCAGTAGGGAAAGTTCAACAAAAATTAATGTCTTGCATGCACAACTTAGTGATGACGAATTACTAAGACGATTTTGAGAAATTGAAGAGCAAAATAGTTCAAAGAAAATATGGACACCCGAGGAGAAGAAGTGTGAAGAGCTGTATAGTAAAACTACCATAAGAGATGTCAGTGGAAGATACGTAGTAAGATTACCTTTCCGCGAAGAAAATCCATCTTGTAAAGGTTGTGGCTCTCGTGCTATCGCTGAAAGGAGATTTAAATCTTTAGAAAAAAGGTTAGGAAGGGATGTAGATTTAAAGGAAAGATACAAGCAGGTAATAGAAGAGTATTTACAACTAGGACACATGAGGAAGATAGATAAAAAGGACAAGAATAGGGATGCAGCGGTATACTTACCTCACCATGCTGTAATCCGGGAGGACAAAACTACCTCGAAGGTACGTGTCGTGTTCAACGCCTCCGAAAAGAACAACAATGGAGTCTCACTCAATGACACGTTGATGGTGGGACCTACATTGCAGTCTGATTTGAGACACACAGTTTTAAGATGGAGATTTCACCCTATTGCACTGGTAGCAGACATTGTTAAAATGTACCGCCAGGTCAGGATTTCGGGTGAAGATGCAATGTTTCAGCGCGTTTTATGGCGAGACAGTTCTGAAATCGAAATCGAGGACTACGAACTAGTGACTGTTACCTTTGGGACGGCATCAGCACCATACCAAGCAGTCAGAACACTTCATCAAGTAGCCTACGATGAAGGCCACAATTATACAGTTGCTGCAGATAAGATTCTCAACTGCTTCTACATGGACGACTTGATGACCGGTTGTAACGACGTCGAAGAAGGCCTGGAAATACACCGTCAAATGACAGACTTATTAGGAAAGGGTGGATTTGCGCTTCAAAAATGGAACAGTAATAATCAAGACATAGTAAACAAAATACAGGACATAGAAAGTAATATACTAAAAGGACAAATAGATCAAAACAGGACAAAGGATAACAAGGACAACACAAATAATCACAATATCATACAGGACATAAAATCAATAGAACAATATAAACCAAATAAATCAGGAAATAAACAAAACGAAGTAGAAATAAAACTTGATAGTACTATTAAAATTCTAGGACTTACCTGGAACCGCAACGCAGACTGCTTCCAGTACACGGTGAACCTCCCGATGCCCACGACCGCACCTGTAACTAAACGAGCTATTATTTCTGTGATAGCACGACTTTTCGATCCATTAGGTTGGTTAGCCCCTAGTATGATTATAGCGAAGGTCTTCATACAGAAGTTGTAGCTTGCAGGTGTTGATTGGGACCAGGAGCTAACCGATGATTTAATAAATGAATGGATACCGTATCGTGAAGAGTTGATATTACTCACCAAGGTTCGGATTCCTCGTTGGCTTGGTACAAAGTCGAACGATTATCTGGAACTTCACGGTTTTAGTGACGCCTCCAAAACAGCTTACGCAGCTGCTGTTTACTTGCGAGTTGTCGGTTCAGATGGTAACATTAATGTATCGTTGCTGGTTGCTAAAACTAGAGTCGCACCAGTAAAACAAATAAGTATTCCGCGATTGGAACTCTGTGGAGCGGTCTTGCTGTCACAACTGCTATCGCAAACAGCTGAGGTCTTGAATGTTTCTCAAGAAAGGGTCAAGGCGTGGACTGATTCCACTGTTGTGTTGGCTTGGATAAACAGCCACCCAAGCAGGTGGAAGGCATTTGTGGCCAATAGAACATCTGAAATATTAACCTCAATGAAAGCGTCGCAATGGTTTCACGTCTCCACAAAGGATAATCCAGCAGACTGTGCCTCGAGAGGGATACTTCCTAGTTCAATACCAGAAAACAATTTATGGTTTACTGGACCACCGTTTCTTAAGCTACAAAACGTAGTTTACAATAGGCCAAATCACAACAATTGTACTACAGATTTAGAAGAGTCAGCAAAGGTACATGTAGCGACAATTCCAAACGAATCGTTCTTTGATCGGTTTTCTCAGTTACGAAGATTAGTTAGGATTGTTGCATACTGTCGTAGATTTTTAAAGGAGAACAAAATATACAGAAAGGGATATTTACAAAAGACAGAATTAGACGCTGCACTCGAAAGTTGTATAAGAAAAACACAGAGAGAACTATTTACAACAGAATATGAAGAATTAAAGAACAAAGGCTATATACAATTAAAATCAAGCCCATTAAGGTCACTCTGTCCTTACCTTGATGATAAGAACATCATGAGAGTTAGAGGGAGACTGGAAAAGTCAGAGCTCAGCGAACAGATGAAACATCCTATCGTCCTGCCTCACTCCAGTCACCTAACTAAGTTAATCATAGCTGACGCTCACCATAAAACCCTTCACGGGGGTCCCCAGCTCATGATTAACTATTTGAGAACAGCCTACTGGATTAGAAATCTGGTCAAACATCATGTCATCAAATGTGTCATATGTGCCAGGCAAAGAGCCAGTACAAAAAACCAATTCATGGGCTCACTACCAGCTGTTCGTTGCAACCCAGCTCGACCATTTCTTCATAGTGGGGTTGACTATGCTGGTCCAATTAGCATAAGGACAACAAAAGGGCGTGGCCATCGGTCATACAAGGGATATATATGCCTCTTTGTATGCATGGTCACTCGAGCGCTGCACTTAGAAGCAGTGAGTGACATGAGCACTCAAGCCTTTTAAGCGGCGTTCAGACGCTTTGTTTCAAGGCGAGGTCATTGTGCCAAACTGTGGAGTGACAATGGCACTACATTCGTAGGTGCCTCCAGGGAGTTACAGCAGTTGACAGCTATTCAGTCATCAATAGCCGAACACCTCGAAACGAATGGTACAGAGTGGCATTTCATTCCTCCTCACAGTCCCAACTTTGGTGGACTTTGGGAGGCAGGAGTGAAATCTACAAAATTCCATTTGAAGCGAGTAATCGGTGAAGCGACTCTCACCTTTGAAGAACTGACGACACTCCTCAGTCAAATAGAGGCGTGTTTAAATTCGCGACCTATGAGCACAATTAACGTTGATGATCCTGGAGAACCACTACCATTAACTCCGGGACATTTTTTGATTGGAGAACCATTATTAAATGTTCCTGATACTGATTACACAAATACCAATATAAGTTATTTATCTCGCTGGCAATTAATTCAACGCATTCTTCAGTCATTTTGGAAACGTTGGTCACAAGAATATCTTGTAACGTTGATGCATCGCTACTAATGGTCGTCCCAAGTTGCTGAGCCAAGAGTTGGTGACATTGTGCTCGTCAAAGAAGACGACTTACCGCCAAGTCGTTGGTTGTTAGGTAGGATCATTGAGAAACATCCTGGGGATGATAATATCACCCGTGTTGTCACGTTACGCACTAAATCCTCAACAATCAAAAGACCAACATCCAAATTATGTATTTTACCCGTAAGTCAATAAATATTTGTTATTTTCTTTTATTTAACACATGTTGCTTTTATAACAAATTAACATTTATATTTTCAGAACCAACTTATACCAAAATTTTACTCTTTTTATTAATTTAAGACCAAATGTGCAAAATCAAATTATATATCTTTATACATTAATTGTTAAGTATATTTACGCGGTTTACATATTGTTAGTTTTAAGCTCACATTGGTTGTTTATATTTAGCTAGTTTTATGTTCATTTTCTATGCTCTAGAATAGTTCATGTTTAGCTTTAAAATATTGTAAATACTTGTTATAATTAGTCCACAGTGCTTTCTTGCAGGACAGATCAAATTATTTAATCTTTACAGGCCAAGTACTTATGTTTCTGTATTATGTTATTGTACTTATGCAGTTCAAATGATTAATAGTACTTTAGTTCATAATTAGTTCATTTTAGAAGGACGCTCCTTCAGTAACGTCCTTGGTGGGCGGTATGTTTGTAACTTAACATTTTGTAAAGCTTCCAACGTCTTCGATAGATGGCGTTGGCTTCGAATTAGAAGTCGTTAGCGTTTTTGAATAGGTCTATGCGATTTATTTTCAATAAACGAGATCGAATCGGGGATCGACTCCGAGATCAGTACGCAGTTGTGGTCTTTTATTTAAAGTTCCCGCTTGCTACAGTTCAGGTCAACTCAATCTCCCCTAAATACCACCCGGTAACTAAACACACAAACAATATAATCTATTGTGATGACTTTTATAATATAGTTCATAGCTATGTTATTGCACTTGTAATGAGTTGCGAGGATAATTACCTCTGTGTGTGTGTGTGTTTTTTTTTACTTTTTCTGAGCTTACGGCCAAATACTCAAACGCCACTCATTTCAAGACGTCGTTAAGTCTCGTGGTATCACAGTCACTTTGACTTAAAGTGATAGAGACAGCACGAGAATCAACAGCATCTTAAAATTGAACTGTGTTTGAATATTTGGGCATTAACGTGTTATTTCACCTCTCACAAAGGACAAAGGGACGAAGTGGGGTGACAGATTCTTTTACGCTGTCACCATACGGCAAGATGTACCATGTAAGTGATTATTTTTCGTCGTGGTAGTAGGTGATGCATGTAAACCGAAGACGTATCTTGTCGTCTTTGCGCCACAGTGATCATCGGGTGGACTTTAAAGAGTAAGAAACAAGCAACGTGGTAGAGCCATGCTGCAGCTATATTAATTGTATAGTTGTACCTACCACGATTGGGTCGGCTCGACCGGGAAAGGACTACGCTCTCACAGAATACCAGCGTAAAATAGCAATTTGATGCTGCTGTGTTTCGTATGGTGAGTGTAGAGAACCGGAGACCTTTTTTACTAGAAAATAGGCATTCCATCTTAGTCCACACGGCTAACAACGCTTCTGCACTTTGATTCACAATCGAGAATAGATGTAGATATCTATGGGCCACAGCAACCACTTACCATCAGGTGGACTACGTGCTCGCTTGTTACCCTAATCCTATTAAAAAAAAACTTTTATATTTTTTATAGTATTAGTTTGGCAAACAAGCACACAGTCCACCTGATAGTAAGTGGATGCTATGGTCCATAGACATCTACATCTATCCCAATTAAGAATCAAGATGTAGATGCGTTGTTGCACCTGAGGAATAACATCGAGCTGTTATTTCACACTGTTATTTCACAGTCAAGTCCACCCATTCGTGCTACAACCATAATATTACTGCAGCATGGCTCTACCACGTAAACATATTTTTTTCCTATCGATAATGGAACTAACCTGGTGCAAGGGAGTCTGCTTGAGTTCGTCGCTCAAGTTCAAATCCGCTCCGGCTAGTTTTAGCGACTCGAGCGTTTGCACATTGCCGTTTCTAGCCGCCAGCGACATCATAGCGGTCACAGATTTAGAGTCCACGCTCGCTAAATGCGCCCCACATTGTAGCAATAGTTTTATAACCGCGGCGTCATCCTGCTTCACGGCTGTGAGGAGGGGTGACTCGCCACATCTAAGGTTTGACGGTAAAATTATAAGTATATATTTGTAGTATATTTCTTGGCCTATGTTCAGCAATGGACTTGGGTAGTCTATATCAGTAGTGGAGATGGGTTGTAGATAATGATGATGTCATAAAAAAGGTAAATTAACACCCTAACGTTGGAGCATAGAATAGTCCGTTGCGCTACTCCAATGCGTGTTGGCGAATTTCACATGATATATTCATTCGCCACTGGTCACGAGGTAGAGCAACGCACCAGTGTTAATTCACTGACTGCAGCACGTATAGGTCCACTCGACGGTGGAAGGAACTATCTTGCACAGAATTCTAGAGTAAAATAGCAGTAGGTATAATTCTAATGTATTTCATTAGGTGACAAACGGGAAACAGATATCCTTTTTACTGGTAATAAGGCATTCGTTTATTCATCAGAGGTGTTTCGGACGTGGAACGTAGAGATTGGACTTTATTTTTTATTTTATTGGAGAATAGACGTATGTAGCTTAATGACTGTATGTGTCTATTTACCATCAAGTTGACTATGTGCTCGGTTTTTACACTTCATCAAGATCATCATCATCATCACCCCCCCCCCCCCCTACATGTGTCACATCGTTCGGCTGCCCTTCAATTCGCCTTCTGGTACAAATCTGCTACTCCAGAACGTTTCCGTGGGTGTCGTAAGAGGCGACAGAGGGAAAGCAACCAGATGATGGACAACAGCGTCTTCCTTATAACAAAAAAATAAAAATAAAAATGCGTGACTGTCGTGGAACACTCGGTCGGAACAAAGTTCCTTTCGTAGTATATTATTATTGATAAACGTATTATTGATTAACAAATACAAGTAAATGAATCACTAGCGTCTATTAAAATGAAACGTCATTTAAAATAAAATAATATTTCTTTCACGGCAAGATAAAGTGCGAGGGAGATGGATATTATTCCATCTCGCTTCCTTATATCCGCCAAGGCCGTCTACACTACATCAGCGAGGGTCGTGACGGAAAAATCTTACACTTTTTCTCGCCTAGCCCCCATCCACTAAATTCGTACCATCCGATAAGGAACTTCGTTCCAAAAACTGCGGTTACTAACCCCCCCCCCCCCCCCCGTTAAGCTAAATGCAAAAAAAGTATAGCAAATATCTATCTCTATCTATGAGACAATCTATAAGGCAGGCCTATGTTCAGCAGTGGACGTTTAATAGGCTGTAGCGATAAAGGAACTGCCCATAGATTTTTTCAATTACCGAGACTGATTTCTAAATTGGAGTAGGTATCGTAAAAGGACACTATGGCAATTCCAGAATATTCTTATGGCTTCCGAGTGACGGAATTTGTGTCAAATGTGTGAGACGCGTAGTACAACAATCGTCCATATAGTGCCAAGCGTGATGATTTAGGCAAATCTTTCTTACAACAGAAGAAGTCCAGGTCCAAATAGCAGATTAAAACTGCTATGTTTCGTATGGTGAGTGAAGAGAACCGGAAACCCTTTTTACTGGAAAAGAGGCATTCCATCTAAGTCCTCACGGGTGACAACGCATCTGCATTTTGATTCGTAAACGAGGATAGATGTAGATGTCTATGGGCCACAGGTAATCACTTACCATCAGGTGGACTGTGTGCTCGTTTGTGACTATATCCTATAAAAAAAAGGTCATGCAGGGTACTTTTATGTGCTGGAGAAGAGGAGTACTTAAAGAGACATGCATGCCTGCTTTATTATAGTATATCAGACTTTATTAAACTAAAAGGAATTCGTAAATTATTCAATCATTCTGATAGTTGATTTTTATAGAATAAGGGTGACAAACGAGCATACAGTCCACCTGATAGTAAGTAGTTGCTGCGGCCCATAGATATCTACATCTGAGATTACGAATCAAAATCCAGATGCGTTGTCACCTGTGACGACTAAGATGGAATACCTCGTTTCCAGTAAAAATGGTCTCCGGTTCTCTACACTCACCATGCGAAACACAGCAGCATTAAGCTGCTATTTTACGATGGTATTCTGTGAGAGCGTGGTCCTTCACCGGTCGAACCGAACCCTTCGTGCTACAACTATACTACTAATATAGCGGCAGCATGGCAAATTTATCGATTCGTTAATTCAATTCATCCAAAGAATCATTTGCAATTAAACACCCAGATTAATTATGAAATCATTAGGTTATCTCTTGCCTCGTCTTCAAGTGAACACTGGCTCCATTTTTCAACAAAAACTCTATGATAGTAATGTTGCCTTTTATAATGGCATCGTGGAGGGCTGTTTTGCCCTCGCAGTTTTGCGCGTTGACGTCCGCACCCATATCTTAAAAAAAAAGAAGGAATAAAATAACACATTGTATACTTTACTACATTTACTAAGCAACAGTAGCCCAAAGTTAAGGACTATGGAAGGCAAACAAAAAAAATTGCCCGTTCTAATGCTCCTTTCGACTACTATCCTAAACCATTCCTAATACAAACATTTTCGGCTCAGTTGGTGTTTAATGCTGAAATGCTTAGGAGATATTTTAAATTTTTAACCTCATCGCTTGTCGTGAAGCGACAATAATATAAAAATAGAACCTAACCTAAGTACAACAAAACAACAAAAGTAGAGCCAGAAAACAATATATTTAAATTTTTAAAAGGTATTAACAATTTTATAAAAAAATTAAATGAGGATGATGATGAATGAAGTGAGAGTACAATTAGATTACAAAAAAAATAAAGGTAGGAGAATAGGGGAATATAGAGTTGTAGTGGAGCCTAAAAGTCGAAGCGACACACGTTGCGATTGTAGAGGTAGGTTTCTTAGCAGCGACGACACGCAGCGCCTGAAGCCAGCACACGCCGGTTGCGCTTGTAGAGGTAAGTTTCTTAGCAGCGACGGCACGCAACGCTTGGAGCCAGCACACGCAGCGTCCGGAGCCGGCGCACGTAGCGCCTGGAGTAGGTGCGCTCAACGCTTAGAGCCAGCAGTTGCAACGCCCAAAGGTAGCGCCGGCGGTAGGTGCTCTCGGGGCCTGGAGTAAGTAGTCGTAGCGCCCGGAGTAGTGTGGCCCCCGCGCTTGTAGTAGACTCGAAGCGACTTCCGAGGTAGATGAAGGCTTGTAGGATTCCGGAGTGGTGTGGCTCCGCGTTTGAAGAAGGCTTCGCCGAAGACTTCACGTGTAGGTGGAGACTTGCAGGATCCCGGGGCAGTGCGGCCCCGGGATAAGGCCTTTAGGAGATACTTCCAATTCGCGAACTGAAGCGAGACTGCCTTTCTTCACCGATTGTTCGGCTTTTATACCTTTCTAGAGAGAACGGACAAATTATTTAAATTAAACGCAAATTTTTTGTAAATGGTCAAGAGAAAAAAGTATTTATGTGGAATTATCGAAATAGGAACAACAGATCGGTAGCAAATTTGAATATAATTACTATAGCAACGAAATAAATAACAATATCAAAACATGTCAAATTTTGGTTTTAGGTTTATAATAAGAAAACGGTAAGATTTAAGTGGAAAATGAGATATTATTGATATAGGAAAAAAGGTAGCGCAGCTGCCCACACAAAGCCCAAGATTGTAGAGTTACGGAAAACTAGCTAAAAGATCGAAAAAAGGTAGACTCCATTGACACCAATTTAAAAGTGCTGATAATGTGAAAATACGAAGTAGAAATGATTTGTTATTGTGTTCTTATGGTTTAAAATCGTTACAGGATCCTATGGAAATAAAGGTGATGTAAAATATCCAGTTTTGAGGTGAATGCAGAAAATCGAAACAGAATGGAAAAATGAATTTAAAATAATGTAAAATGATATGTAAGTAGCATAACACTACACGCTGTATCTAAATAGATATCGACTTTTTTTAAAAGAAAAACGTTACATTATATTACTCAAAACATTACATTAGGATTTTCTCCTATATCGTGGAGGCAGTTTACATACATAAATTTCACAAGGACAAATATCCAGACCCGAAACAAGTACTTTTGTTGGCCACACAAATGCTTGTTCCGTGAGGGTTTCGAATCTGCAGCCCACAGTACTGCTACTGAGTGGTAAACCACTGCCCATCGGAGCTGTCAAAAAGACACATGCGCTTTGGTATTGCCACAGAATAAATAACAGTACTAGATAGTATTGCGGTGAATTATGGGTCAAACAGTAATAATTCATAAAACATTTTTATGTGTACCAATTACCAATGATACCAATAAATTCATACTAAAAACAATCGGATATAATTCAATAAGCTTACCCAACATCTTCTTAACTCCACGGAAGTCATCGTGTTCTATCGCGTACAGAAGTAGAGCACTGAATACTTTCTCCGTTACCTCCACCAACTTCTTCGGGGACTGGATATTGAGGCTGGTCGCTATTGCGTCTATTAACGTGTTGTCCTGAAAAAGATTTTGTAATCATAATATTGTCCTCCAGACCGAATTTTGGTCACGGCGATCAGCCTCAATCGGAGTCTAACTATGTGTGCAGGACAGATACTCTCCTATATTTACAAAATCTCATAGGGATTTGAACCTAGAACCTTTTTCTTATAGAATAAGGGTGACAAACGAGCACACAGTCCACCTGATGGTAATTGGTTCCTGCCATGAAGCAAATACAAAGAGGAGACGTTGTAATTAAATTACACTATGTAACAACGCGTGACAATTTGCGGGGTGAGGGGATGCAAAGTCCCGCCCACTTTACATTATCTACATCTACCGATAAATAGTAAAACTACTCGAATCTTTCCATATCGATGTTGCAATGTAGCTTAGCTATCTTGACGGTAGATGGCGGCATGTCTACAAAATGTTATAGACTATAAAAATAATATATTGGCGATTAAAATTTCTTTATGTCTGAATGCAAAACAAATTTCAGTACCTTCGTATGATTATTTTATCATTACTGAGCTCTACGTACCTTTATATTTTTAGTTCACAGGACACGAAGTGTCGCTATCTAGTGTGGAATATATTTAATTATATTTGAAAGCCGACGCAAAGAGATTTTTCTACAACTATTATAATAAATTAGGTGTAAAATTACTCACAAATGAAATGTGATGCCATCCATAGCATCGGAGCGTCTATCTCATGAAGCAAATACATTCAGACAAAGAAATTTTAATCGCCAAAATAATATTTTTATAGTTTTCATAATAACTTTGAAAACAGGCCGCCATCTATCGTCAAGTAAACCTCATAAAAAATAACAAAAAGACAGGTCCGCAATTAGAATCCAATTATTTTACCCAGTAACCCAACATTCAATATTAAAATGAAGGAAATTGTACATGGCTGATTTTTACGAAATGTTTAAGTTTTATTTTAGTGACATTCTATATGCAAAGAATCACTTAAATACAATTTAAATATGTTTATCATTTCGTATTACCTTCAAGAAATATTTAATTTATCCATAAAATAAAGTCTCTTTGAAACTAAATATTCTATGTTCCATATTAAGTAGGATATTTAATTTGGAACTAAATATCCTACTTATCTCACTAATATTATAAAGGCGAAATTTTGTGTGTTCTTTCTGTCTCCTTGAGCTTATTCCACACTAAGTATGTGTAATTTTTTCACGCAGAAACGGCTGGACTATTATTTATGTGTAGGTTATACTACTTAATATCTCTGAGGGAGAACAAATAATAGACAAATTATTATAATTAATATAATTTTATTTACAAATCAATTAAAATATAAACATTTTATTCCAAATTAGGCATCCGAATGCACTTTTTGAATGCCAATCTAAGAACACTAAATTGTATTTAAGTGATTCTTTGCATATAGAAAGTCACTTAAATATAACTTAAACATTTCGTAAAAATCAGCCTAAGTACAATTTCCTGCATTTAATATTAAAAGTTGGATTACTGGGATAAATAATTGAATTCTAATTAGGGCCCTGACTTTTTGTCATTTTTATGAGGTTTACTTGACGAGAATACGGCCTGTTCTCAAAATGATTATAAACTATAAAAATAATATTTTGCGATTAAAATTTCTTTATGTCTGAATGCAAAACAAATTTGAGCACCTTCGTATGATTATTTTACCAATACTGAGCTCTACGGAGCTTTATATTTTTAGTTCACATGACACAAAGTGTCGCCATCTAGTGTCGAATATATTTAATTATATTTGAAAGCCGACGCAAAGAGATTTTTCTAGAACTATTTTGATAAATTAGGTGTAAAATTATTTACAAATGAAATGTGATGCCATCCATAACATCAGAGCGTCTATCTGAGTAGTTTTTACACAATAAAACACAACACCTCATCCTTTTCTTCTTAATACTACGAAAATAGCGATTTTTTCAACACATAAGCGCACAGGACGAATGCTGACAGTATACTAACTAAAGCCACGCCCACTATGATGACGTCAGGACCTACATAGAATCACAGTGCACAGTTGCTTATGCCGTCTCCCCTTTGTATTAGCTTCATGGTTCCCGTGGCCCATAGACATCTACATCAATCTTCGTTTGCGAATTAAAATGCAGATGCGTTGTCAGTCGTGAGGACTAAGATAGAATGCCTCTTTTCCAGTAAAAAAGGTCTCCGGTTCCCTACACTCACCGTACGAAACACAGCAGAATTAAGCTGCTATTTTACGCTGGTATTCTGTGAGAGCGTGGTCCTTCCCCCGTCGAGCCGACTAACTAAACAATTAATATAGCCGCAGCATGGCTCTACCACGTATAAACCGCATGGAAGGCAGTCGCTAAACGACTCTTTACGACCTCTAAGAGTCTAGATTAACGAGGCAGTCAAAAATAAATATTTTAATAAACAACTCTATGTTCTTTCATGGCGTCGTCGCTAAATATTTTAAATAGAATATATGCGAATGTTTCATCTAATTTGATGCGATTTTCAAGAAATTCTCATATATTAAGAAATGTAACCGCTTATTACGGCCTTCTAATCAGACGACATGTAATGGTCACGTAAGTGAATCTATCTTTTTCATTTCTTCCCGTGAATGCCATAAGGGGCGCCTTTGGAAATGCTGGAAAATCTTATGGATTCCGACAGATGGCGTTAAAACCAGTTCGTTTACGCCAGACGTAAAATATCCAGACTGGCGAAGGGCACAAGCGTCGAAGATGCGACACATCTAAGTGTGACCATTAAAGCGAATTATTTCTATAGCGAAAAAGGTCCATGTCCAGAAGTGGGCTTTAGTGGGCCATTAAGATGAAAAGGATAATGTATATGCTATATTGAAGTAACTGTCTTCTATTAAGCTCGTAGACATAAAAAAGCATAACGATTTGTTATATTTACGGGAAGAATACACATTAAATAAAAGTATTTTTTACGGATTTTATCGCACTTAATTTAACTTTTTAATTCCCGACGTTTCGGGTGCTTTACATCACCTATGGTCACGGAGGGGACTGAGGGGAGTTAAACTAAACGCGATAAAATCCATAAAAATTAGTTTCATTCGATAAAAAATCATTTTAAAATTTTTCGTCTATCTGTCAGTCTGTCCTGGCTAATTTTCGGAATGAATTAACTGATTGTAATGAAACTTTACGAACAGATATGTAGTGAGTACTGCCAGGATAGAATAATATATTTTGTCTAAAACACTTGGAGATATTTTTTTTCCTAAGAAAAATACCGTTTTTGATTTATCCTTAATTGTCTTCATATATATTCAATTATCTTATATCTAAAAAAGGCTCCATATTTTTTTACCCCACGTTGCTTACTTCAAGTAATAGTCGAAAATAATGTTCATTCGTAATGTAAAATAAGTACCTCTATAGCTATAGTAGACGTGTTTGTCAATTCTCCTCTTATATTTGTTGACACCATCTGGAACAAATTGTCTTATATCATTCTAGAGACATACATAAATATGTGTTATTCAAATTACGTAAGGTCGATAATTACTTCAGCCTTCTGTTGGTATGTAAGTTCAGTCTTTGATAAAACATACGAGAGTTTCGTAAGAGCCGCTTCTGGGGTCATATCGAAGCCAGACACTACACCACATTCCGCTATCAACTGAAATTTAAACAAAAATATTAATGATGATTTGTGAAAAAATGTTAATATTGTATATAGTTGAAATGCATATAATAAATACTACATTATATAACGCAGTGTATACTGCAATACGATGCGGCATACTGTTACGAGCTTGGGGTTCGAGACAACTAAAACTGCAGAGTGAATTACCAAAACTGACACTTTAATTACAGAACACTAATTACAATTTAAAATCACACTGATAATCAAACACAATTTTACTACTGATCACTTTAGTTCGCAGTTATTTCGCTTCGAAGTATTCGCCTATATCGCCAATTCAATACTGACTCGATCGTGGTCTATACCGGCCTTATATAGGACCTCAGATAGTTTCCAGAACCTACTACTGTAGCGACATCTAGAATGTTCAAGTACATATCGGTCCCGAAATTTCTAGAAGGATCTTGACTCTAGTTCTGCTACTCGACACTAGAGGGCGCTAGTGGTAACTAATGTTGCCATGTATATGACATTAATAGTGGCGCGCAACAATACACTGCGTATACATATGGAGGTACTTTTAATTTATATATTGGCACTTTCACTGAAAATTATTCTCAGTAACTATATCACAAATTCGCTAGTTTCCGAGTAGTACGACGGAGTAATCTTACACCATAACACAGTGTGCGTACAATGCAAAGCCTTTCACAAGTCCATAGCTGAAGGCATCCAGCGGTTCTGCCATAAGGACTATATATAAATCGAAGATGAAAGTGAGAACAATATAAGGTGAAATATTACACTATTATTGCAGTCTAAAAGATAGGACGATGCAGAATATTATGTATGCATTGTGACGCAGTGTGTAGAATGTACGGGATAGCGTAATGTAGTGTTTGTATGTGTGTTGAGACCAACGCGAAACACTGTGAAGTGACGTGAATAACATACAGAGCGTAACATGGGATAAGCGTAATTTTGCACAAATCTTGCAGTATATAAGAGAGTGCGTTGTGATAGTTCGACCCCCCTAACAAGCTTTCGACCGACCTGAACTGCCTCCTAGCGGCTCAGGCCGAGTCTTCTCCCATTTTATAATTTGCCTTAGTTAGGCGCGCTTCTCAGCGGCTACTCGCCGCCTGCGCCCCCTTTCACAAAAAGGGGTGGCTTCCGATACGGCAGAAAGGCCCTCCAGGCCAAAGCCAGTCCCAGGTGGTGTTTAGTGGGTAGGCACTTAGGTTTTCATAGTGAGTCCCACACACCACCTCCCTCCCCCGCTTCCCAGAGGGTAGCCCTTTACTTTACTTCTGGGCGCAAAAACAAAAAGGATGGTGCGACGCAGTGTGACGTGTGATGCAGTGTCTTGTAGTCACGTTGCAGCATATAATGGCTGCACCACAAATGCGTCGGCTAAACTGAGGACTGAGTAAAAAAGCAGCTTAATATGATGAAAACTGAAGACAGCTTTTATTTAAAACGAAGAATTTCATCCAAGTCCGCAAAGGTGAAATTACATCTACATTACGATTCTTAATTTTCTCTATATATAAAAATCAATTGCTGTCCGTTAGTCACGCTACAACTAAAAAACGGCTCGACCGATTTTTATGAAATTTTTTGTGTATTTATATTCACAATTGGCCGTTAGATGGCGCTGTTGTCAAGATCCAGAAATAAAACGTGCATAGCCGGGGCGGCTGGTTAGTCGAGGATATAAATATATAGGGTAAAGGTTGGCTTTATGGTGATAATAAGAAAAAAACTTAAAATTTTATTTCAAAATGAACATTTATTAGAAAACCTCTTTACTTATTACAATAATCAGACTTTTCTTTTCAATAATTATTAATCACAGCAACTTAAATTCTTAAACATTAATAGGAAAATCAGATCAAACAAATCTTTTTGGTGTTGGCAATATGGAGATACGGGGGCAATTTGGTGATACCATATGTGGCAATATGGTGACAAGTCTATTCAGGTGCCCAATCACTGTCATCAGTGCCTGAAAAGCCTACTTTATCACAATTATCACACAGGAACTGTGGCGACTCTGTGCCATTCGGTACCATTTGCCGCAGCTCATGCACTCTAACCATACAGCTCCGTTCCTAAGTGCCACATCTTGGGAGTAGTGAACACCGCAATAGTCACACATCGTACTTTTATTTGATTTTGGTGTTTTCTCTACCTTGACTCTTGGTAGTTTACGCTTCAGGTTGCTTTCAGTTGAAGGTCCAGGAGTTGGAGAAGCAGAGGGGACACGAATCGAGGTAACGGTCTCCTCACTGGTAACGGCGACTGTGGTTTCGTTTGATATGGCGACGATGTTTTCTTCAGGACTGTCCATGTTGTTCGTGCTTTGAGGTGTTAAATATCGGGCCTGTGGATTCCGCTTAGATCGTCGGGTACTAGAAGAAGAAGACTGTGGTACCTCAGGAACGGAAAGTAAAGAGAAAACTGAAGGTGACGCAGTTTCACGATTGACAGCAGAAGCTTGGGCATTATCAGTGCAAGATTCAATATTCTGTGACTGTAGGTCACTTGGCTGCATCAATGATGGGGCAATACTTTCATCAGAAATGGCATTTCGATCAAATGGCGCAATGCCAGTTTTTCGAAAGCCGTTCATAATTATTGACGGCTGTTATGCATGCTCGTAGGCTGGTGTTAATAGGCGACAAAAGTCAAGCCTTGTTGGAGCAGTCGTTGGATGTTGAAGCTTATAATCATTTAGCACTTTAGCCCATGCATTTTTCAGTGACTTGTAAACAGAAACGTCCAGAGGTTGCAGGAGATGGCTTGTGTGACTTGGAAAAGTGAATAGATGAATGCCATTTTTTGTAGCGAAATCTATAACATCTTGGCTGACATGGGTAGAGTGAGAATCCATGATTAAAAGTACCGGTCTAGCTGGTGGAATATGAGCTTCAAAATGATGCATCCACTCCAGAAATAGTTTAGAGTTAATCCATCCGTTTTTGGATAATCTCACGATAGACCCTTCCGGAGCACCATTCGCTAGATCATTGACCATTCGGACACCTTTAAAAATGATCAAGGGGGGTACAGACGCTCCGCTCGCACTACAGCACCCAAGCACCGTTTGTGTGACACCTTTCTCTGCAAAAGTTCTACTGTAAATTACCTTCTTTCCAGTTTGAGTGACAATTTTTGACGGTTTTACGACGAACGTTACACCGGTTTCGTCGCAGTTATAAATCCTTTCAGGCTTTTGCAGAATATTCAGCTCAATAACGACGTCCAGTAGCTTTTTATAAAAATCGTCAATGTTTTGTCTGTTAGCAGTAACAGCTCGGCATGCTGCAAGCTTTTCTGGCGTGCGCAATGAAAGCCCGTACCGTTCTTTAAACGACCACCACCAATAAGGCCCAGCTTTACGTTTAGCATCGTTAAACTGGTGATCTTTTCCTGCTTGGACTGCTAAAGCGTAACATTTAGCTTTGATGTCTGTGACGCTCAGACCAAATCCTAGTTCTTGCATTTTAATTATGTAGGAAACAAACTTACATTCAAGGTCGCTGTCTAATGTGAATGGTCTCCCAAGTTTAGGTAAGTCGAAACTTTCACCTCCATGAGTAGCTATGTGTCTTCTCAAAGTAGACCACGGTATGCCATATTCCTTCGACGCCTTGTACACTGACCAATTATCCTTTATAACTTTCATATAAGCCTCCTTGAAGCGTGAAGAGTCATAATTTCTGCGTTTCTCGCCCTTCACTTTCCTTTTATTTGCCTTTCCGGACTTGTTCCTGTAAGAAAAATCATCCAATACGTAAGACTATAACCCGGACTAATGAAAGACAACCCGATATTTTTTTTAACAGAAAGATACAACCACAAATCATATTAATCAGTGTGATGGGGTAGTCGTTTATGTAAAAAACAGACTTAAAAGCAATATAAAAGAAATTAAATTAATACATGCGTCATGCGTGCAAGTTGTATTACCCAGCTATACAATTCTTTGCATTTATCGCTCGCCTTCAATTAGAAATGCTGAACTTTTTATAAACTCATTGAGCAGACATTTAGACACTATAAAAGGACATAAAAATATAGTTATCACCGGTGATATTAATATTAATATTATAAATAAAACCATTGAACAATCACACGAACGTACAAATAGACTGGCATACCTCAATATGTTAGCAATGCATGGCATACTTCCAGGCCACGTATTGCCTACAAGGAAAAACAACTGCTTGGACCATTTTATGCTGAAAATAGATATTAATATACACTTGGCGTCCATTATAGTCTTTGACACCACTATAACTGATCATCAGATGATATTCCTAAAATTGACAAATACCGATACAAAAAATATAAATCAAAATAAAAATAACAATAATATTACATACAAAACAATTACAAATTATGAAAATGCACTCTTAAGCCTAAAAGATAGTAATCTAGCTAACTTAATATTATATGACAATCCCACAGAATTAACTAACACCCTTATTAATAAGTTGCAGCAATGTTTAATGGACAACACCATCTCAAAACGTATTTCCTCCAAGGATCGATTAATTAAACCATGGATTACACCAGGTATTTTAAGGTGCATCCGTAATAGGAACGACATGCAACGAAAATTACGTGTTGACCCATATAATGATATCTTAAAAATAACTTACAAAAGATACCGTAATTTTTGTAATAACATAATTAAAAAATCTAAGATTCAATATGATAAAGAACTTTTAACTAAACATAGGAAAAACCCCAGGACTTTATGGCATACGATAAATACCATAACAAGCGGTAACAAAAGAAAAGCAAATAGTCTGGAGTTGCTAGACATACACGCTTCCCCAAAGTTGTCTGTTAATCATGTGTGTGAATACTTCAGTAATGTTGGTAAAACCCTAGCTGAGGATATTCTAAGAAACACTTATACACAACAAGTTGGTGCTAGCAATGTTTGTTTTAACTCACCTGTTGCGTCCATGTTTTTTCAGGAAACCGATTCTGAAGAGGTTCACAAAATTTTTATGAGCCTAAAATCTGAGAGCGCTCCAGGCTGGGATAATGTATCTACTCAGTTTTTGAAACAGGCGAATGAGCAAGTAGTACCCATAATTTTGCACCTTGCTAATCTCTGCTTTGAACATGGAGTTTTCCCAGTTGCGCTCAAAAAGGCAATAATAACGCCGGTGTATAAGAATGGTGACAGAGAAGATGTATCCAACTATAGACCAATTTCAGTTTTAACCACCATTTCAAAAATTTTAGAGAAATTAATTAACAAGAGACTTATAAACTATTTAAATAAAATAGATTTTCTTTCAAAATCACAATATGGCTTTCGTCAAAATCTTTCAACTGAAGATGCAGTCACTGCACTAACAGCTCATATAGTCAACAATATTGACAGGGGAAAGAAATGTATTGCAGTGTTTTTAGATTTAAAAAAAGCATTTGATACTGTCTCTGTCCCCATTCTTATACAAAGGCTGGAGAGTATTGGCATAAGAGGAGTGGCACTTGCGCTATTATCAGACTACCTCAATGAGCGCAAACAATGCGTGAAAATAGGCCAATATATTAGTAACCAATGTGATGTGACGTATGGGGTACCACAGGGAAGTGTACTTGGGCCGACTCTGTTCTTGATTTACATCAACAGTCTCTGTAATATGAGTATCAACGCGGGACAAGTTTTTTCCTATGCAGACGACACTGCCATTGTTTTCACTGGCAACACGTGGGATTCCGTACGCCATGTCACGGAAGAGGGGCTAGTCAGGGTAGCTAACTGGTTAAAATCTAACCTTTTAACATTGAATACGGACAAGACAAACTACATAGCATTCACAAAGTATAATTCAACGCAACCTGAACATAATTTCAAAATTCTAAAAACTTCATGACTGTGACAACATTCAAAATAATTGCTCTTGCAAAGCCATAACTAAAGTTAACAACACAAAATATTTGGGAGTTGTAGTTGACCAGAGGCTATCCTGGCACGCCCATCTAGAACTAATGAAGAGAAGAGTCAGAAAACTCATATGGGTGTTTAAAAAGCTGAGACATGTTGCTGACAAAAAACTATTAAAACTAATTTATGTTTCATTGGCTCAGTCACTATTGGCCTATTGTATCCCAGTCTGGGGAGGTGCTAGTAAGATGAAGTTCCTCGATTTAGAAAGAGCACAAAGAATACTACTAAAAGTAATGAGCTTTAAACCTTATTGGTTTCCCACTGATAACCTATACAAAATATGTGATGTTCTTACAGTTAGACAATTGTATATATTAAATATAATTCTAAAACGTCACAAAACGCTCCCAAATGATCCTTCTATAATATCTAGGAGACGAAAGCATAATGTAGTTCCCATTGCTACAGTCAAGTCAAGTTATGCTAAGAGGCAATTTATGACTCGATCTGCTTATTTATATAATAAATTTAATAAAGTTTTAAACATTTACCCTATGACTAAGTACAATTGCAAGATGACTTTGACAGCACTATTAAAAACTTGGAGTTATGATAAAACTGAGAATTTCTTGCTGAACCAAAACTAACACTTTCTTGGATTATATTTTACACATAATAGAAGCTTGAATAAAAAAATATTGTATTTAATAAAATAGGAATGATAAAACTCACCTAAACTAAATTATGTAAGAATTCACAATAAATAATATTTATTTATTAAAATAGAAATGATAAAACTCACTTAAACACATACACACGCACCCACATACACACACACCCACATACACACACACACTCTCACACACACGCGCGCACGCACACACACCCACCCACACACACACACACACACACACACACACACACACACACACACACACACACACACACACACACACACACACACACACACACACACACGCACGCACGCACGCACGCACACACACGTACACACACTTATTTTGTAATATTGTAAATCCTTTGTGTATCATGTAAAATTTGTTTAGAAAGCATATATTTTTATCTACTGTAATTTGTCTGTTGTGGAGCAACTTTAAAAATCAAAATTAAAAATATGTTTTTAGATTAAGTATTGAAGTAAGTAGGTATCACATTAGTATTTGATAATCAATGTTACGGAGAGGGGGGATTTCTAACACAAGTATTTATTTACTTAAAAGAAATCCTCAATCATAACAGTGCTATGTAAAAACTCTGATACTGAATAAATTATTTGATTTGAAATTATTTGATTTGATCTACCCTGAAAACCCCATTCAAATTAAGCTTGAAATAAAATAAAAATAAGCTATGTAATGTTTTTGGTAATTTGGTGATATTTACGTACCGATTATCCTCCATTTTTTCGCATATTTTGGCGCGAAACAAATAAACCGCGTCCGGTGAGGACAGCGACCAGCGGCCAAATGAAAGAGAGATGAACATACTCGCCTTCAGTTCATGAACGCAAAACTCGCGCTGGGCATTATAAAGACCGTTGAAAGCAAAATTATCACCATATTGCTATATATCACCATTTAGCCAACCTTTACCTTAATATAAAGGCTTCTATATATATATATATATATATATTAATTGTACAAGCTATAGATTTTGTTTCTATAAAAAAAAAGTTAAAAAAATCTATAGATCACAGCATTTACTTACTATCAGTATGCCTATTCGCTAACTTAATTGACACCAAAATGTTATTAACTTTGTAGTACATTGCGCCGTATGCTATAAATTTTTTACGACTCTCCAATGACGACGCCCATCCTCAATGGAGACTAACCATCTGCGCAAAACAAATTATAGTGCATGAGTGTTTGCGCAAGCACAGGTGCTCTCTCTATTCCCCCACACTCATAGTCTGATGCCATAGTCTAACAGCAATCCGACACGACCGGAAAGTGATCAGGCGCATGAGCAACGTCTTTTCGTGCTTTCCGAGGCACGGGGTAAATCAGAAAAACCTGATAAATAGATTCTAACCCGATTGATTCAAATCGTCCCATATAAGCATTCGCGTATACCCTAGTGATCGTGAGCGTAAAGAAAAAACTGCTCAACGAGGCGTCGCGTCGATACGGTTTAGTGTACACAGTACTATGGCAGTTATACCCGGCCGGTCTCGTAAAGCGGAGAGGCGACGGCGCCAGTATTGCACTGCGTGATGTTGACCACGATGACCCCTCGACGCACAGCCGCCGCTATTTCGTCGAACACGTCCGGCCTGTTAGACGGGATGTTGCCAGAGCCGTAGCTTTCCAAAACTAAGCCTGTTTAAAAAGTACATACAAATTGTTAAACTGATTTTCTGTTTTTTGAAAAATAATCTGTCTGCCCTTACTATTTCCTATTGGGTGTCAGAAGTGTGTCAAAATTGTGCCCTGAGTTACGCGATTCGACTTGCACACTCGAATTCGCGTAAGTCAGTGCACACCTTTACACGCAGTAGAGCCATGCTGTAGCTATATTGTGGTTGCAGCTCGAGTGGGTCGGCTCGGTCGGGGAAGGACCACGCTCTCACAGAATACCAGCGTAAAATAGAAGCTCAATGCTGCTGTGTTTCGTATGGTGAGTGTACAGAATCGGAGACCCTTTCTAATGGAAACGAGGCATTCCATCTCAGTCCTCAGGGGTGGCGGCGCATTTGCATTTTAATTCTTAATTGAGGATAAATATAGATGTCTATGGGCCACAGCATCCACTTACCATCAGGTAGACTGTGTGCTCGTTCGTCACTCGTAAATTATTATTCTATAAAAAAAGAACCTACTGCGTAAGCCGTAAGTATTATTGTTCTTCAATCAATTTATATATTTTTAATTTAAATTTAATTAAAGATACATATTCTTACACGAGGTAGAGCCACGCTGCAGCTACATTATCGTCGCAACACGAAGGGGTCGGATCTACGGTTAAATGACCACACCTTCACAGAATGCCAACGTGAAATAGCAGCTTAATGCTGCTGTGTTTCGTACGTTGAGTGTAGAGAATCAGAAATCCTTTTCACTGGAAACGAAGCATTCCATCTTAATTTTCAGGAGTGTAGACGAGTATGCATTTATTCTTAATCGAGGTTAGATGTAGATGTCTATGGACCAAAGCATCTACTTGCCATCAGATTGTATACACGTTTGTCACCACAAACTAATAAGAAGTACTAGTTTGTCTCCCTTATTCTATAAAAGAGAAGTGCTTACGTACGGAGTACCTTCAATTGGAGGCTGACAGAACGCTCTAATAACCGACGCACTGATGCTAGGAAATATCCTCAACAGGCCCACGTTCTTTGACATCTTGGCGTGCAGCTGGAATTTCTGGATTACCGTCGGCTTGAAAATTGCCTTCTTGTTTGCTTCGAAGCCGATACCAACTTCGACAAGTGGCACGCAATTCGGCGAGTCGAAAGCGTAGAAATTATTGACAGATATCTTTCGGGTCCTAAAGCAATATGCATATTGTTTCAAAAAGTAACGTTACATACAGCCTATATCCCACTTCTGGACACAGGCTTCTTTTTATTTTTAAGAATATTTTTGGGCAAGGAAGTGTTCACCGCGCTGCTCCAATGCAACACGCAAACAGCATAAGTATTTAAAATATTTGTTTTAATTTCATAGACGTACAGAAGTCCTGACGATTTTTCTTTCACCGCCGAGCAGGTGGTAAATCAGCACTTGAAATTGTAATTAACAATTTCATTGGTGCCGGTGGAGATCAATCCAGGCTCACTTACGGTGAAATTTTAAACGAACGCTTACACGTCGTTCCCAATTGTCGGGTGTCGGCAACTCTGTTCACACTTGTCGGTTGTCGAACCCGATCGAAGCTGGAGCCATTTTTTGATATTACAGTGTACACCAATCACCAATTTTAATAGCGACCGATTTAACAGTATAGAAGTTGAAATGTTGCAACGCCATCTAGTGGTGAGTAACAACACAATGGATAACATTATTATCATAAAATAATATACAAACTAACATTGTGATCGGACCAACGGTGTCGACGTATTATGATCTCAAACATATACCACCATCTTTTTTTATATATCTAGAAGAGCGTTGAAAAGAGGAAAGGAGAAGTACAGAAAAAAAATATACCTGTTACCCCTAAAGAGCCTGCTTCCGAAGAAAATTGTCACCTCAGGGATGTTTAAGCTACCTGCAATCATCAAGGACGACACGAAGTTGTCGGCACCATCGCTACGCGGTTCAAAAATCGGTATCTGTAACAAAAACGAAATTTACTTTTATTTTTAGAAATATGAATATTTCCATATAACCGTTTTTAATATCGCGTTTCACTTTCCGATTGATAATTACCCATAATCAATATGTGTGAGTTATTGCGTTCATTCTGACCTTTGCCGTTTAGATCGCATAACAACGATTGTTGTTGACGCAACAATAAGATCAATCATGTTGAATCATTCTTTACTTTGTTTTGTTTACACTATTATTAAGTACAATTTTACATACATAATGCACTATACTAACAAATTTTTGTTTTATTCTTTGATATTGTCGAATTGAATTTAGTCGCACAAGGCAATAAATAAGCTACAACCTAAATTTAAAAAAAAGTTAGTTGAGGTAGGTGTACTAACCCATTTCATCCCGTGGGTGTCGTAAGAGGCGAAATCAGGAAATCAGTAGTAGCGTCTTGCTAATAACGACTAAAATAAGAAAATGAAAAAAAGTTGCCCACCCGCTTGCCAAGAGTGACAACTATGTAACTATCTATACAAATATCCCGCCTATGAGGCAATTTATAGGGGAGGCATATGTTATGTAGTTCTATTATTTATTTTGTGCCTATGTTCAGCAGTGAAATGTAACAGTAACAGCAACGGTAGGTAGTTGAAAGCTTGAAAGGCAAGCATTTTGTATACCGTAACCGTCCGCGTTCTCTGCTTACATTGGTAAAAGTTTTCCGTCCTTCCTGTTCATTTTCTGCCGACTTCCAAAAAGGAGACGGTACTCAATTCGACTGTATGTTTTTTTTTCATGTGTTCGATGATTATTTTTTTATTTGAAAGCTGGTACTTCTCGTGTGGTCCCATATGAATTTGATCAAGGTCAGACTAATAGTTATGAGTTATTATTAATAACTTATATTGAAGTCGGCTGTACAACATTTTTAATTTTAAATTATTCATGCTCTTATCAACATCTTCTCAGAATATTTGTCTACGATTAAATGGAGTTTTTTGATAAGTACATTGTTATTTTATTGCACGTCCACCCAGACAGTGGCGATAATTTTGTAAGCCTTGCGGTGACGGCGTTAGAGAAACCGTCATTCGGTATCATCGCTTGGATATCACAAGAGTGGACTAAAGAAAATTGTCGAATACAGCTTAAATCTTTTTTCTATTTTTCGTCCTTTATAATTCTTCGGTCAAATATTTCAATATCTCATAAAATATCTCGTAGTCCAATGGGAGCCAAACTGACACGACCGGTGAGAGATCCGAGACGGTCAAACGGATTTACGCGCTTTCCCAGGCCCGGTAGTAAAACATGGCCAACTTCAAGACTCCTGGCTGCAAATGAGAAACAACCAATATTTGATTTTGGCCCATCCCTGAATTCAAATCAGCAGTCGCACTCACACAACCAACAGCAATCACATCTTTTATATTTGCATATCCGTCAAGTATCTCTTTCAAGTTCAATATGTAATTTGGTGATTTGGTGTTTTCTTGAAAAGGCCTAAATACAGCTATGGATTAGAAAGCTGATAGAAAAAATTATTAAAGTATGTACACGATAGACCTACTTAGACCTACCTGGGAGCCAGTCAGTACAACGCATTTGCCAATGTTCTCGAACATGAAGGACAGAGCGGAGGCCGTGTAGGATAATGTGTCCGTTCCTTGTAGCACGACGAATCCATCGTATTCCTCATAGTATTTCTAGAAAGGGCACGACCATTATACAATTATGGCGTGTGCGTAGCAGCTTAACGCTGCTGTGTTTCGTATGGTGAGTGTAGAGAACCGGAGACCCTTTTTACTGGAAACGAGGCATTCCATCTTAGTCCTCACGGGTGACGACGCATCTGCATTTTGATTTGTAATCGAGGATAGATGTAGATGTCTATGGACCGCAGCAACCACTTACCATCAGGTGGACTGTGTGCTCGTTTGTCACCCTTATCTTATAAAAAAATGTTGTTCTAGTTATATACAACGTTGAATAACAATTGTTTGATAAAAATATTAAAAAGTCATAAGATAAATAACACACAATATAGCTACATGAGATGTTAACAATAAATAAAAAATAATTTTTAAATTTAATCCGATCTTAAATTAAAAAAAATCAAATTATTAGTACATATCTACAGATATATTATTATCCTATACAAAGTATTATTATTATGAAAAACATAACACAGTTGCAGAGTGATTTCCACCAAAGTCTCGCCTCTCGCACTGCACGTCTAAGACTTCCATTATATTCTGCGATTTTAAACGTGGTAGAACCATGCTGCAGCTGTATTAGTAGTATAGTTGTAGCACGAATGGGTCGGCTCGACCGTGGAAGGACCACGCTGTCACAGAATACCAGCGTCAAATAGCAGCTTAACACTGCTGTGTTTCGTATGGTGAGTGTAGAGAACCGGAGACCCTTTTTACTGGAAAAGAGGCATTTCATCTTAGTCCTTACCGGTGACAACGCATCTGCATTTTGATTCGCAAACGAAGATAAATGTAGATGTCTATGGGCCACAGCAACCACTTACCATCAGGTGGGCTGTGTGCTCGTTTGTCACCCTATCCTATAAATATATATATATATATATATATATATATATATATATATATATATATATAATGAGACGACTTAATTGAAATATATATAAAAATTTATCATATACCATTATATCCTCTGCGATTTTAATCCATTCCACCTCAGTCATATTTGAAGAGTCCATTAGATTTTCATACTCTATTATTTTATACATAACTCTCAGATTCAAATCTTTAGCGTCTGTAAAAAAAAAATTATCTTTGTTAATTTTTCTGTAGTAAACAAAAAATGAATTTGTCTTACATCTACTTTCATTGGCATCATCATTACAGCCTTTCACTAGTCCACTGCTGAACATAGGCTTCCCCCAAGGAACGTTACAGAGCACGGTTATGAACCACCTGCATCCATTGACTTCCTGCATTAAGACAGGACTGAAATAAAGATATTGTACTACATAATATTCTATGAATATTATGTAGTACAATATCTTTATTTCAGGCCTCTAGAACTTATAATTAAAGATACATAATCTACATTGAATAAATATATTCTATTTCTTTCTAGGGAGCACGATTTCCTATAACTCGTCTCCCTTCTTAAAATCATCTTGTCTATCAGTCAGCGGCTTTACACTTAGTCTTCTTCTAAAAATCCACTGCTAGATATAAGCCTTTCCCGTTGTAGAGAGGATTGCTTTTATAAAATAATGGTGATAAATGTGCCCATAGTCGAACCGTTTATAAGTCGATGCAGTGACCCATAGACATCTACAACTAAATATCTTCGATTATAATTTAAAATTAAAAATGTTGTACAAATGACTCCAATATAAATTATTAAAATAACTCAAAAACTATTGGTCAGACCTTGATAATTTATATGGAACCACATGTGAAGCACCAGCTTTCAAATAAAAAAAAGAATCATCGAAATCGGTCCACCCGGTCCAGTCGAATGGAGTACCGTCTCCTTTTTGAAATCGGTAAATAAATCAAAATGCAGATGTGTTGTCACCCCTGAGGACGAAGTGGAATGCCTGTAGTAAAATGTGTCTCCAGTTCTTAATACTCACGATACGAAACACAGCATCATTAAGCAGCTATTTTAGATACCGCGTAGTGGCGGTGTAAGAATATACCCTACCCAATATAGTTCCATGGGTGTCGTATGAGGCGCCAGGGGAAATCAAATCAGGAAAAGGTCAGCAGCGTCTTCCTAATACGACTAAAAATAAAAAACTGCTATTACCAACTCGCTTTTCAAGCGTGGTTCGAGCCGACCCAATAGTGCTACATACTGCACTACTAATAGGTATAGCTGCAACATGGCTCTACCACGTGAAACTTATCTTGTCGTCTTAGACTTGCTCATTTGACACTGCTACCCGCCGCCGGTCTTAATATTTTACGTCGGGCGTAAACGAGATAGTTACACCGCTTTCTATTTTAAGCCATATGGTGTTCCTCGTATTACACATAGTTGCCTCTCACGACACCTGCGGGACGAAGTGTGGTGATGGATTCTCCTTACGCCGCCAGCACACGTCAAATTCAAATAAAAATTGGTAAAACATATATAATACCAACCTGGCAACACCAAAAATGAAGTATCAAAGCCGCTTTCGCTCAATCTCTGCTTCCATAACGCATTATCATGTAGTTGCGGGTAGGTACGGATCAGGTTTTCGAACGCACCTTTTTGTGGTACAAGTACTAGAAAAGAAAAACACTACTATTTATGCAAATCGGCTTTTTTATCTTAATGTGTGATGAAACTTAATGATATGGTTAGGGTTCGAATGTGGTTTGAATTTAATTAACCTACAGACCTAGAGTAGCACACAGAGAAAATAACGCTATATTTAGTATTACCGACGCCGATAACACAAGCAAACAGCGAACTTTAAAAAAAATAACAGATGCATTGTCAACGTTTGGGTATACCACAAAATACGTTCCTTATCCGCCTGCATCAATAGACTTCCCGCATATCTTACCAGGTCCTCAATTAATCTAGTGGACACCGGCTGTACACTTCGCTAACCGATACGAGACTGCCCCTCAAGAACTTTTCTTTCCTGTTGGTTTTTGGTCCTTCGAGCTATATAACTGGTCCATAGTTATACTAGCCCATTATATGTTGCTTAGTAACAGAAATAGAAGGTAATATCTACTTGGACGAACTTCTAGACAGGAAAGAACCTTCAGCCTATCTCACAACCTAGTATTAAGTATCAATGAGCGTTAAATGCAGAATTCGGTAGATACAGGTGGTTTAGGACCGTGTTTTGTAGTATTTCTTGGGAGAGGCTACGTTCAGCAGTAGACTTGAAAGGCTGTAATGTTGATTATATTGTTATATTGATTATAATGAATGAGCGCTAAGGGTATGATACACAAATGCGAGAATTATTATTATTATTTAACAGGCCAGTAGTTGAAACAACTGATATAAGCCCGTACCCTAGTCTTAAATGTGTAATTCTTTTATTTTAGTTGTTTATCTAATCTATTCCTGAATTGGTTAAGGTTTGTGCAGATATCACTGCTGATGGCTACTTGTTTCATGCTTCAACCACTCTTTGGCTAAAATAATTAAAAATTAAAAATTTTGTACAGCCGACTTCAATATAAGTTACTTAAGAATAACTCAATAACCATTGGTCTGACCTTGATCAAATTCATATGGGATCACACGAGAACTATCAGCTTTCATATAAAAAAAGAATCATCGAGATCGGTTCACCCAGTACAAAATTATGAGGTAACACACATTAAAAAAAATATACACTCGAATTGAGTGCTGTCTCCTTTTTGGAAGTCGGCAGTAAATGCTTATATAGGTTACTATGTGACACGGCTTTACTTAATTTGAGGTGATGCCCCCTAAGATGTATGTTTTTTGAGTTTTTGAATTTGAATTAAATTTCCAAAGATTAGAAATGTTTTCTTAGAAAACATTCCGGATCAGCATAATTTTTTTTCTTCTTACCAGCCTCTAGAAGTCATCTACAACTACAAGACATGTGCCTCATCCGTTGAATGAAGAATTCAATTGACAAAACGTATAGAGATTGCAGCGTAGCAGTACCAGACATCTCGCACTTTTTACATTGCTCCTCTTCGTCTTTTCTGGTGTGAGTACTTTACGTGTAACGTAAGCCAGGTATATAGCCATATCGTTAAGACAAAACTGATATGTATACTGCGAGTTTTAATCAAACACGGTTTTACAATATACAAGCGGTTCATTTGAAGTCTGCTGATGCAATGGCAGCACACAACGCGCAGGAGTCCGCGTAGCAAGTTGACAACATAGTCTCTGAGATCTATAATCTATCTCCGTCTTATCGCATTTAATTTGATATATTTTTAAGATACGTTAAACTCATTCTGCATAGACCGGACCAAAATAATAAGTAAAAAGCTAAAGGTAGGAATATCAATCTCGTGATTCGTGCTACAAAGAACCCGAAATGTCGGGAATTATAATTAAGTAAAGTAAAAATAGTTTTATTCAATACTCTCAGATGGTTTAGTAAAATATAATCTATACATATAATAAAACTGTAAATAGCAGATGTCTGTACATTTTATATTTTTGTAATAAAAGTGATTGAGGGGTACTAAAAATAAGTAATTAAATACATTTCTACCATTTTTAGAATTTTCTGTCTGTCTGTCTGTCTGTCTGTCTGTCTGTTTGTTTGTTAACGTATCACGTATAAAGTACTAATTTATATCATAAGAATTGTTAAGGAAATTCTAAAGTGTATCTTCGGGTTACATTTAGTCTTTATTTCATTAAAATCAGTTCATTCCATCAAAAGTTATGATAAATATTCTGAAGTATGGGTAGGGAAGTATAGGTACGAATTTGCTCAACGGTGGCTTTGTTTGAGTCATCAGGTGCATTTTAAACTAATATCATATCATAAATCATAGTTAAATTATGTAAAATAATGATATAATTATGTATATCTAAAACGCAGTAAACAAAAGTATTAAAAAACGTATTAAATATATTATACAAAAATATATTAACCTTATTAGCTAAATCTGAAGCACAATAGTTTTCCCATTTCTTCGATAGATGGTGGTGTTGTGAAAATGTAATGCAATTGCAATGTTTTTTTTTTCCTGTAGATGAGTTTTCATATTTACTGCTAATCTTTATTATATTACTCGCTGCCCTACTGCGTGTTGATAAACTCAATTTATTCTTTACCGCCGAGTACTCTATGTGGTAAATCAAATTTTAAAAGAGCTATTAACAAATCGTTGGTTTTGGCGAGAGTCAAACTTTATTTTTTGCTTTCTGTGCAGACACTGATTTATAAGTACTCTTGCGTTTTATATAATGTATCAATCGCGTCAATTAATCTCTTTTATTTTTAGAATTGATGTTAGCAGCGCCATCTCTCTTTAAATATATACATATAATAAAAATGATGATAACATATTGTGTCTCTTTCTGTACATTGTATAGGTATATATTTTGGTGGCTAAAATCATTATGGGGAACTGAAAATAATTAAATAAGAACATTTTATAATTTTTAGAATTGTCTGTATGTCTATTTGTCTGTTATTATATGAACGCATCACGTCTAAAGTAAACATCTTTTATTTTCAAAGAAATCGTTAAGAAAATCATAAAGCGTATCTTCGAGTTACATTTAATCTTTGTTTTATTAAAATTGGTTAATTCTATCGAAAGTAATGATTATTATTTTGAAATGTAGGTTCGAATTTGTTCAATGGCACCATAAAATCTCAGAAATAGTAATAAAAAGATTTGTGTGTAAAAAAAACGTTCCATAATAATTAATATATTTATACTTAAAACACAAAAAGAGATTTAAAAAGGATGTTTTCTCACACAAAGGACGTAATAGATGGAGTTGTACAAATTACAAACTTTTCTGAATTGCTGTGTTGAGATTTTTCGCCGATGAATCGTATTGAGACTTACTGAAGAAATTTGTATCCATCGAAGCCATACAACGGAATCCGACCAAAAATATAAATTTTGCAACGAAATGTCGTGATATTGTATTTATAATATACGCAAAATCAGTACTGCCACTTTAGCGCTTTGGGAACTAGATTTAGCGCTTTTTTGGAATGTATAGCGCGCATTTCGAAATTTTAGCCCTAGCTTAATTCAGCGCTTTTGGCGGTGTATTTAGCACACATTTCAATATTTTAGCGACTAGCGGGTTATTAACTCTTTTATATCAGCACTGTTAGTTCACATTACCGATAATAATAATAATGACCTTTATTATTTTTTCCCACAAATAGTACATTGCAGTTTATCTTTTTCAAACATATTTTTTCCACAAAACAAAGAGCATGGGAGACGAGTCCAAACTAGGATACCCTGTGCTATGGATCTCCTGGCTTCCCCTTTAGGATGATCAACTTGATTTTTTTACCGACGACTATAAGCGGGGAAACCCCTTTATTAAAGTTTTTGGTTTTGGCAACGCATTTATTTTGCTTTATTCAGTTTCAGTCAGTTGCTTAGAGTACAGCTAAGTTAAAAGTTACTTAGAAGTTATAACACAAAGAAACTGTGTAGCAACCGCAATCAGATGCTGACATCTGAAACTAAGTTGCGAAATAAGGTACGTTGGGGTAATACCGGACGGATTTTCGAATAGTTGGAAGCATGAAGCAAATATAAAGAGGAGACGGCATATTCAACTGTGCACTGTGATTCTAAGTAGGTCCTGACGTCATCATAGTGGGCGTGGCTTTAGTTAGTATACTGTCAGCACTCGTCCTGTGCGCTTATGTGTTAAAAACCGCAAATCGGTGTATTTTCGTAGTATTAAGAGGAAAAGGATGAAGTGTTGTATTTTATCGTGTAAAAACTACTCAGATAGACGCTCTGATGCTATGGATGGCATCACATTTCATTTGTAAGTAATTTTACACCTAATTTATTAAAATAGTTCTAGAAAAATCTCTTTCCGTCGGCTTTCAAATATAATTAAATATATTCGACACTAGATGGCGACAATTTGTGTCATGTGAACTAAAAATATATAGGAACGTAGAGCTCAGTATTGGTAAAATAATCATACAAAGTTGCTGAAATTTGTTTTGCATTCAGACAAAGAAATTTTAATCGCCAAAATGTTATTTTTATAGTTTATAATCATTTTGTGAACATGCCGCCATCTGTCGTCTAGCTAGCTAAACTACATTGCAACATCGATATGGAACGATTCGAATAGTTTTACTATTTATCGGTAGATGTAGATGGTGTAAATTGGGCGGGGCTTTGCATCTCCTCACCCCGCAAATTGTCACGCGTTGTTACATAGTGAAACTTAATTAGAACGTCTCCTCTTTATATTTGCTTCATGGTTGGAAGAGTCTGCCAAAAACTTTAATTTCTCGACATTCGTATACGTCAGATTTATGGAACATGGAGCAAACCGTTAATCGTTAAACGTAGTTTAGCTCTGAGAATCTTTTGCTTGTGTAAACTCAACGGTTTCTGCTTTAAAGGTGTGCGAAAACTAGACATACTTTTTTATATGCATAATGGAAAATTGGCCATTAAGGGGTAAGACCGGACTTAAATTTAAAACCACTTCTACTGCTTCGAGAAAAAAGTTTATAAAAGAGATTTGTCCTATCTTTAACGCTTAAAAACATATTTCAATATGATCTATAAATTACTAGAAACATAAATGT